TTGGCAAGTATGGTACATGTAATAGTGGAAAAAAATTATAACAGACATATTGCTCTCCATACATCTTTACTATAATAGGTGGGCAAGCAAATCCATTCAGAAAAATATCACACAAGTTTGAACTCTGCTTTGATGGAGATAAAATGGAGCACTGTGGCTCTCTGCGCTGGTATTTAACAGACTTAGGGCTGTGAGGGAAAATTGACATAGTACTGTTTGAATTGTGACATGGAGGCAAAGCTTGACAAATATCCGGTACACACATGACTAGCAAACAGATTTTATGTTTATATTAAACAAACAATGCAAGGATTACCGAGTGAGACCCTTGAATTGGAAGAGTTCAAATGTGTCTTCAGGGGTGAATGAGTTAATATACATGCAGGGTGATTCAAATATGTGTAGAAAGACTTGCTGGAGAGCTAGCTAGTATAAAGTCCATAGTCTCCCTCGGTATAGTTGGTTATGAAATTTCAGGGGTGAATGAGTTAATACAACGTAGCCTCCTACACATGTACATGTATACAAATGTGTGGCAGGGTTCAATTGTACATAGGATTAAGGTCGCCTTACAGCTTCGAGCTAGGGGGAATTTCCCTTTAGCTCAGTGGTAGAGCGTCCGACTAGGAACCTGGAGATCGAGGGTTCGATCCCCGGTGGAAGCACACTATTCTCTTTCCTGTTACAAATGGTGTCTGTGGCCCTCCCTGTGGTGACAGGGAGTTAGAACCTGGGTTGTGGTGTTCGAGGGCGAACACATTTAAAAAGGGGGGAGTAGTGTGGCAGGGTTCAATTGTACATAGGATTAAGGTCGCCTTACAGCTTCGAGCTAGGGGGAATTTCCCTTTAGCTCAGTGGTAGAGCGTCCGACTAGGAACCTGGAGATCGAGGGTTCGATCCCCGGTGGAAGCACACTATTCTCTTTCCTGTTACAAATGTAATGCCTTCTGTTTCCTGTTAATTATTGTTTCTAAAACCAGGAATATCTTTCTGATAGAATTTACCTGCTTTCCAATTTGTAATTACCAACAGGTGTAGCATCTGAAATACATAGTGTAATATTTGGAGGGGGTCAAGGTGGGGGTGGGGGCTGGGGCCCTGGGGAGGCTAATAATAATACCGCATGATGCTTCTGGTGTTTTTAATCCGGATTTCTTCTCACTGAAATAAAAAAAGAATCATCATATTGGAAACTGAAAAAATCAGATTTTATTTTTAATCCGGCAGTATACATGATAAATATAATCCGCCACCCACCTTATATTTTACCTGTATATGGGATACTCATTGCATTGGTTCCCGATCCCAACAGTAAAAATTATCATTTACTGATACATGTTCATGTCAATGGTATGGCCTTCTTTGCATACCCAATTCACCTGAATTTAGTGCTCCTTTCCTAAAAGCAGCCTTCACCCTTTTGCAGGAGAAATTGAAAACATATAGAACCTCTCCCACACCTCAACCAGTCCCAATCAATGATGATATTTTTAAAAGTACTTACACACTTTTTTTACTCATCCACCCCTGAAATTTCATGATGAACTGTTCCAACCTTTGAATTGGAAGAGTTCAAATGTGCCTTTAGGGGTGAATGAATTAAAGAAGAGATTTATGTCTGGTAATCATGGCTAGTGTACTTCCTGTGAAGTGGATAATATATATAATGTATATAATCTATAATGTCCTTCTGAAAATAACAACTGGTTGAAGTTGTACAACTTCTTCTATCATAAATTTGATTTTTGTTTTTGCTAATGATTTGGATGCTTATTACATATATTATTTGATAAAAAGGTTACAATATGACCCTTTACAAACCGAGATTACATTTTATTTTTGTTATTTCTGATGATTTTGATGCTTATTACACATCCTATGTGATAAAATGGTTATAATATATGACCCTTTCCATATCCATCCCTGTTTCAACCCTTGATCCATATATAAGCCCTTGGGTATCCCACCCTCTTGAGCTGATAAGGAAATCTTGTGCTGATACAGGGTAGGATATAGAAGGCTGTATAATAACCTTTAATTGTGCACACCTGTCTCTTGATCGTTTCCAGCTGGCAGGTAAAACTCTCCCATATGGTTGTCTGCATACACATCCCATTTAGAATGCACTAGCTATATATAGCTGGCCTAGTTTCGCTTCATTGATTTCATCATAAGTAAGTTTAAGGATTGACTAGTTTATCAAATACACAATATACAAGTGTAAGCTTCGCTTTTGATTTAAGAACTTGCTGAAAGAGTCCGTCCTTCAATTATAGTGATGTTTTCTTTCAGCCCTAGACAACTGTACAGATTTAAAATAAGAATTTTCTCAGTCCTAACATATATACGTAATTGACATATTAGGGCTAAGAATTATCTTAAGTCTATTATAGACTTATTTGTAATCCTAATTCAAACATGTACATTATATTGCTCACATTCAAATCAGTTCAATTAGGTACATAATTATATATCTAACAGCCCTCCCAACGCCCCCCCAAAAAAAGTGTGTTTATGTATTGCCTTCACCTTTCCTGGCAGTTTCTGAGTCATGTATTTGAATAATTTCTTACAGATTTTTATCAATTTAATTTATGTATTAGGCCTATGTCAATATATCTCATAGTTATACTCATCAGCTCCACATTTTTAGACATTTACTTTTGTAAGTAGATGTGTGTAAGATTGCTTTTATGAATATGTCAGGATATGTTGATTTAATCTTGATTTATTTCAAATGAGATTTATGAAATGATAAATTAAATCTGAGAACTTTTCATTTTATATAAACCTTTGATTGCATAAATCTCATAATTACCCGTGTACAGGTATGAATTGAAACAACATATTTTGTCTCTTTTTTCACATGATCAAGAGTTTTAGTGAATATTGCAATAAACGTGTACATTATACATTTTCCAGGTCAATCTCAATGTCTTAATAACTCAATTCACCTCTAAAGACACATTGGAACTCCTCCAATTCAAAGGTTGGAATAGTTCATTATGAAATTCCAGGGGTGAATGAGTTAATATATAAATTCTACAATCATGGCCCTATATATTCTGTAAACCTTGTACACAATTTTCGCTCTCCGCAATTCCGTCTTTGCGTATTGCAGAGTTATCTTCTCTTTGGAGCAGGTATTGATTGTTACGTCACTTGTTTGGGAGAGTAACGTCATCAATTTTTGGGAAAACGACGTAATTTTCTCGCACAGACCAATGACGTAACAATCAATACCTGCTCCCAAGAGAAGATAACTCTGCAATACGCAAAGACGGAATAAGGGCAAATACATCATTACAGTAATCGTTTGTAGACAACTTAATTTACATAGTAATTAGATGTGAACTTTAGGTGAAATTAACACTGGGCTTATATCAATTTTACCGGTGTAGGGCAAAAGTTTGGCTGGGGAATTGTCCCATTGTAAAGTATCTGTTGTCTCCATTATATCATCTGGAGGTCTGTGGTGTTATTACTATCATTCTGTGACATCACAATAAGTCATATAAGATGAGTTCCTACACAAAATATATGTGTTTTCACTGAATAACATTGTAATAATGTGATAAAATTGCTCGGTAGATATAGGATCTTACATGTGTTTCCATTTCATATGAGATTTTAAACAAGTCTAAGGAAGGCTCACTAAAATGAAAAATTTTGTGACAAGTTTCATAAATATCATCACATAATCAAGATTTATGGCATTTGTTCGTGTAAAACGGCAATTTTCATGCAACCTTGAAATGTAAAAAGCCACCATTTTGACTCCAGTGTGTAAGTCAGTGACCTCATGTACACGTCCTAGGCGTGACGTCACAATAGTAAAAGAATTGAAACTTACAACCAATCGCAGGGCTGATAGGTCATATTACATGGGTTAATACGGAAAAAAATATGACATGGGTATATTCACTGGATAACACAGTACATTATGTGATAAAGTTTAGCTGTTATAAGTTTAACTGCTAAAATATATTAAAAACAAAAAACAAAAACCTGCTAAATATTTCTTCCCATGACATACATCGATCTAGTCTTCATTCCATGATATCTTTCCAATCCTGGCTAAATCTAATCAGTCTGTTTTAACCACTAACTAATTAAACTTTGAAAAGATCTCTCCTGATTATATCACAGCTACCTGAACATCCACATCAATAGTTTTCTGTGTGATGAAAATACACTCTGTTATATTCTGTTTCACGTTTGCTAATAACTGTAAGTACTGAAGAACCTCTTTACTGAGGAAAATGTTTCTGCCAATAATTTGCAATGGAAAGTACTTTCATAAATTGGTTCAAAGTGTTTCCTGCAGAGAATTATCTGCTGAAAGTGAGTTTTTGTCCCTTACAAAGATGTGTATATATTTAATTTTATTGCTGGATACGAGATTCCTATAAGTATAATTAGGTTAGGATTAACGAGGTTCTTCAGTGCTTCTGACAGTAGAGGAACAAATGATTTTAATCAAATAAACTTTTTCTTGTTCATTTTGTAGTGATGATAATTTATGGTACAATTATATATATATAAGATTTATTTAATTATTTTTCTGATAAAAAGTGTGACTATGATTAATTTGTCTTCTTTTGTGGTTAAGTGTTAAACAGAATAGATACAACTATGGCTTAAATATAATTACTATTAATTTTGTATCAAATTTTTTATAATTGTGTAAGAATTCAAGTGTTTAAAAATATAGGACTCTATGATATGATTCTATGTATGAATTTAAGATTAAACTTAACTTTACTAACATAACATGTATGATATACCATACTTAATTTTGGAAAGAAATGAATTTACATATGAGCACAGTAACAGTTCATTATAAAATTAGCTGCAATTATTCAAAATACATGTTTTGTTTATTTTAACATCAGTGAAAATTTTGAAACAAAGTAATTATATAATTGTATTTTGTTTGGATTGCCTCCCTTGAATTGTCTCCCTTGAATTATAACATGTTTTTGTATGACTGTTGACAGCGTATGGCCAGCCTCAGTCGTATGGACAACCAATGCAGCCCCAGTATGGTCAGGGTAAGTAACGCCACATATTTCAGTTTCCTTTTTTTTCTTTTGTAATTATTTATAATCAGAATATCTTGAATTCCGTTGGTCTGCTTTCATTTTACATGTTTTGTAAATGTTTAGGCGTTAACCGAATCAAAGCTTTGTTAAAGATTTTATACATCATGTTCTCCTAGATATAAATTAACACATCAAAACCTACAATGATTTCTTTCTTTTGATTTAAACAAAAAAATGTTATTACTGCAATGTGCCTGGCTCAAATTCATTGAAAGATATTTTTTTACGTGAAGCGAAAGTGAGAAAATTGACCCAAAGATGTTTCCTCTGAAGTTAATTCTATATTAATTTTTGTAAAAAAACACAAGTAAGCTAACACATAAATTGAAGCATTCTGTCCAGCAAGAAACTGGCAACTTCAATTTCTAATTCATATTTATGTTTGATAGTTTATACAAATGATTGAAATAATTGGGGGTGCAAGACCTAGATATGTTTTTTGTTGGACTCTTCTATATCCCTTTTTATTCAAGATGTTCAAAACTTCAGTGAGTACTTAAATTTTTCAGCAGCGAATAGTTCAGAAGACCAACAAAACCAAAATGCTGTGAAATCAGCTATATTCGCGGGGTTCAAATTTGGTGGTTTTCCGACAAAACTCCATTTCGTTGGTACATGAATTTGTAGATTACAAGTACGCACTCAAACAGAGAAATGCTTTATATCACATTTGTAATTATTTAAATTTGTGAATCTATGAATTTGTGGATGAAGGTTACCCACGAAATCAACAAAATAAAAAAATAAAAACACAAAACTTTGTGATTCGCAGGTGGTTGTGTTTGCAGTGTTAGGCTTATATACACTGTTTGTTTAAAATGGCTGTCAACATTATTTGCATGGAATACTAATGAAGAATAATTAGGCATACCTATTACTTGCCAACTATATAAAATTTCCATGGGGGAGATTACACGTGCTAGGAATCAAAAGTATTAGTAAAATGTGTTAATGTACATGTACACACCCTAAGGAAAAAATAAAACTTTTAAATGTCATTCTTGAGTTGTCCAATGACAGTTCTATCACATGAAATCATCAGATCTTAGAAAATAGGGATAGCTAAGAAAATTCAGTGGTTGAAAATGCTCAATTTTGGGGTCCGGAATCGAGAGCCTCCCTTCAATATAGGGACAGTTAGTTAGCAGGTATGATTATGGCTACACTAAAAATGCCTGCTATACATATAGAAATCATGGCTACACAAAAATGTTTGGCATGCGATTGTAAACACAGTAAAAAGTAACAACGGAAGAAAACATAGCTACGCTAAAATCACCGCCTCACATACCGGTGTAGAGTAATACTGACAGAAAGCACATGATAAACCTATAAGGCTTAATGGCTTAAAACTCAAATGTCAATAAATTTCAGCAGAGTGGACGTGATAACAATTTCCTAAAGAATGACAAAAAGCTTTATCTATACTAGGTTTTGTGGGAGGTAAAAGTTCCTGTAATTTAAGTCAGGTTAATCTTTATTTTCTTTAGGTAGAAATATTAAGTATGTTAAGTTTGGTCTAGTAGTGTACATTAAGAAATCTACTGTGGCAAAAATATGGCCCCTTCCGAATTACTGAATAGAACAAAGTAGAAACATGCACTGCTCAGTGGACATTAATACAATTATTTATTTATGTTACAGTTATAGGTTACAATGTATTGACCCAGTTCTCTAGAGACACTGTACATGTATCAGCTAACTAGATGTAGTTCATTGATTAACCCAGATACCGGTACATGTACACACGTTAGAGTAAAACTCAGATAATAATCCCTATCAATACAAGGACCCAGAGTCCTGAATAGGATTATTGTATGTAGGTTGGGCGACCAGTTTCGGTTCCTCTGGTAAACATTGCTGAAGATCGCTGTCCCGGACTGCACTGTAATTTTCCCTACATGCTGTTAGTCAGTTACCTCCCCTTAACTTCTGTTTGGATGACACTGTAACACAGTTTGGCTAAGCAACTTCTGTTAAACCGATACAGCTCGTTCGGTAAGAGGTTATTTAAGTTATAACAATCTGAAGTCAAGGGTTTAAATCCTGATATAGCCCTGTGGACTTTTTACTCTCAAAACACTGTTGTTGATTTAAATTTTGTTTATTTCATATCTATTATTTCTCATATAAGTCCCACAACTCATGGCTTTCTTTCTAGAAATGATTCATTACAGCCATAGATAGTCATGCCAGGAAAAACAGTTTCTAGAACTTACCCTGTAGTTACAATTTCTGGCAGTGGAACGAGGATCCTTCACTTATTCAAGTTTCAACCCTGAAATTTCATAATGAACTATTCCAACTTTTGCACAGGAAGAGTTCAAATGTGTCTCCAGGGGTGAATGAGTTAATTGAAAAAAAATAACAACTTGTAAAGCATACTGAATCAGATGATAAGCCATCACCCAAAATATGATAAATTCCATCTAAAATGTTCACTATATTATTATTATATAGCTGGAGTAGTTATTCCAATGAACATTCCTGGACAACCCCAGGTGGTGCAGTGGATGTCTCGTCCCGAGGCCATTCCTGGCTGTCCCCCCGGACTGGAGTACCTCACCCAGATTGATCAACTCCTCATCAAACAGCAGATTGAGATCTTGGAATGTATGTATCTAACATTTCATTAGAAGCCTGGTTAGAAATGACTTTATGGGTCATTTTCAGCCTCAAAAAAACTAAAAAAATCAACTTGAATTTATTTACCAATATATAAACCTCACATTGGTTATTTGGGGCTATATTTCCTGGTGCAGATTTTTTTATGATGGGGCAAGCATAGATACCACACCATAATAACAAATTTGCGTTGCTATGCAGAAAAAGCCAATAAAAGCCTCCGCATCCAGAAAATCCTTTCTTGGACTGAACACTTATATGACAATGTTTAAGTATGCCAAATATGAATTTGGTTAATATGTGCAAAGGTTTTCAAAAATTGAACAGTGTTCAGTTGATTGGCTTCTAAATGGCCAATATACATACCGGTACCATATATAGCATGCAATAGACAATATTTACACGTTTCAGATTGAAACATGAGGTTTATTAACTTTCTTTGTTAGGCCATATCTCCTTCAAAATTGTTGAATGAATTTGAAATATCATATTTGTGTACTTCATTTATCCAAGATTACGAATAAAACAATTACATGTAATTCTAAATCCCTGGTGAGGGAGAAAATGACCCTTAGCGCCCCTAGTCCTTTATGTTTCTTCCATAGTAGCATAATACAGGGCTGTAACAATTCATAATGGAACAGATGTTTGAACAGAAATGTGCTGCATACTATTAGGTCAAACAAAAAAGATTTTGTGTTTCCAGTAACCCTTTTTACCTTCCCTAATTTGTTGTGCCTACCCTAAACTTTTTAAGGCAATTTTCAAAGAAGCACTGTTAAAGTAAAGATCTCTCTCCTATATAAACCATACAAAATTATTTGTTAACCCTTTACCCCTGTGTAACTTCAGTAGACTCTACCATGCATTGATATGGATGAGTCCATTATGGTCTGCAGTGATGAAAGGGTTAGAATAAAATTTGTTGCCTATACATGTACCTACCTACCCTAAATTTTCCAACATGTTATAGGAAAAAAATATATGTTTTTGTCTGACCTTATAAATGTTTGAAAGATGCATTTCTATTCAAAGGTATACAGCTATGTTTTAGTTCAAAACAACAAAGAAAACTCTTCTTCATCTTTCTTGGTGGTCTCTTTTTAGGTCACCTGAGCTTTGCTCAAGTGACCTATTCTAATCGCTTTTCGTCCGTCGTCGTCCGTCGTCCGTCGTCCGTCGTGCGTCGTGCGTAAACTTTTACATTTTCAACTTCTTCTCAAGAACCAGTGGATGGATTTTTTTCAAACTTGGTCAGAATCATCCTTGGTAGATGAGGCTTCAAAATTGTAAAATTGGGATTCCTACCCCAACCCCTGGGGCCAGGGCGGGGCCCCAAAGGGAAAATTAATCAATATTTCAAAAATCTTCTTCTCCAGACTCAGAGGTACTACAGTGATTTTCTCTACGTGGAAAGAAAGATCATCAGGGGCTTTACTTAAATTGTAAATTTCAGGACCCCCGAGCTATCCGTTCTCCCTTGGGGAGGGGGTAAAGTTTACTATAGTTTATATAGGGAAATAACACTTTTGGGTATATTTTGACAACTTTCTGTAGGAAATTATTTTTACTTGGTGAGAATTATCCTTGGAGGTAGATGGTTTCAAATTGTAAAATTGAGATTCCTACCCCGACCCCTGGGGCCAGGGCGGGGCCCCAAAGGGAAAATTAATCAATATTTCAAAAATCTTCTTCTCCAGACTCAGAGGTACTACAGTGATTTTCTCTACGTGGAAAGAAAGATCATCAGGGGCTTTACTTAAATTGTAAATTTCAGGACCCCCGAGCTATCCGTTCTCCCTTGGGGAGGGGGTAAAGTTTACTATAGTTTATATAGGGAAATAACACTTTTGGGTATATTTTGACAACTTTCTGTAGGAAATTATTTTTACTTGGTGAGAATTATCCTTGGAGGTAGATGGTTTCAAATTGTAAAATTGAGATTCCTACCCCGACCCCTGGGGCCAGGGCGGGGCCCCAAAGGGAAAATTAATCAATATTTCAAAAATCTTCTTCTCCAGACTCAGAGGTACTACAGTGATTTTCTCTACGTGGAAAGAAAGATCATCAGGGGCTTTACTTAAATTGTAAATTTCAGGACCCCCGAGCTATCCGTTCTCCCTTGGGGAGGGGGTAAAGTTTACTATAGTTTATATAGGGAAATAACACTTTTGGGTATATTTTGACAACTTTCTGTAGGAAATTATTTTTACTTGGTGAGAATTATCCTTGGAGGTAGATGGTTTCAAATTGTAAAATTGAGATTCCTACCCCGACCCCTGGGGCCAGGGCGGGGCCCCAAAGGGAAAATTAATCAATATTTCAAAAATCTTCTTCTCCAGACTCAGAGGTACTACAGTGATTTTCTCTACGTGGAAAGAAAGATCATCAGGGGCTTTACTTAAATTGTAAATTTCAGGACCCCCGAGCTATCCGTTCTCCCTTGGGGAGGGGGTAAAGTTTACTATAGTTTATATAGGGAAATAACACTTTTGGGTATATTTTGACAACTTTCTGTAGGAAATTATTTTTACTTGGTGAGAATTATCCTTGGAGGTAGATGGTTTCAAATTGTAAAATTGAGATTCCTACCCCGACCCCTGGGGCCAGGGCGGGGCCCCAAAGGGAAAATTAATCAATATTTCAAAAATCTTCTTCTCCAGACTCAGAGGTACTACAGTGATTTTCTCTACGTGGAAAGAAAGATCATCAGGGGCTTTATTTAAATTGTAAATTTCAGGACCCCCGAGCTATCCGTTCTCCCTTGGGGAGGGGGTAAAGTTTAATATAGTTTATATAGGGAAATAACACTTTTCGGTATATATTTTATCCATTTTCAGCAGAAAATTACTCAAACTTAGTCAGAATCATCTTTGGTGAATGAGAGTATTACTTTGTAAAATTGGGATTCCTGCCCCATCCCCAGGGGCTAGGGCGGGGCCCCAAAGGGAACATTTACCAATATTTTCAAATTTTTATCCATTGATGACATGACAAGTATTGTATTTCACTTAGTTTACATGCTGATTTCCACATCACATCTAAACAATAAAATAAAGCTACCAGTACCTATGATATAACTCAGGTGACCGCTAAGGCCCTTGGGCCTCTTGTTTATGTTACATGTCAAATAAGCTGTTTTACCAAGTTATAAAACAGACAATTTGCAGGAACAAATTTTTGTTTTCTATAATTACTACTACCAGCAGGCAACACGTATTTTGTGAATTTCTGTTATAATTTTAATTTGACACCACACCAATATATGACTGAAAGTGCCAAACAGTTGTTCCAATTAGAAAACATGTAAGAGTTCTTGCAATACACTTACCAACCTCCGAACTATCATGATACCGATACTGATACAGCTATACAGGTATTGATTCAATTTTAATATATACATGTATAATATGCAGTGTTTACTGGCTGGGAGATGGCAAACAAGTACAAGGTTCTCAACAACCAGGGACAGCAGGTTTTCTTTGCCGCAGAAGGTGAGTTTATACATTAAACAGTGAAATTTAAGCATTCAGGTAGTTCACACTTTATTTAATGAACAGGTAATTATGTTACCATATAATTATTCTCCATTTGTAGACTTGATTCTGACAATAACATGTTTCTTTGTCAGAGTTCTCAGAAATTACAGACAACACAAAAGATGATGAGAATATCAAAGGGCACTCATTACTCCTAGAAAGCACTGTGTACTGGGAAATATTTGCTGCAATTTAACTCATTCACCCCCGAAGACACATTTGAACTGTTCCAATTCAAAGGGTTGGAATAGTTCATTATGAAATTTCAGGGGTGAATGAGTTACTCTCATCCTTTTCACCCTCTCAAGTGGTGGCAAATTCATCATGTCAGCAAATATTTGTTCACAACAAACAATATGTAGTAAATACATGTAAATGGCAAAATTAACACTTGGGTAGCATGTATTTTACCGTTAAACGGGCCTGTTTATATCCATAGTCTAGCTTATGGAAGTCAATCTTTGTTTAACTATATATCGAGGGGCCACAGTGACCAAGGGGTTCAGGCGTCCGACATTCTGCTACCACTAGCCCTTCACCACTGGGTCACAGGTTCGAGGCCTATACTTGGGGCAGTCACCAGGTACTTGCCATAGTTCGGTGGATTGTCTCGGGGAAATCCAGCTTTCCACCACCACCAAAACCTGGCATGTCATTAAATAACCATAGCTGTTAATAGGATGTAAAACACAAACAAACCAAACCAAATAACTATATACATACTGTATTGTAGACTGAGTAATCCAGCCACCCTCATTCCCACCAAACGGCTGGGTTGTAAGAAGAGTGAAAGACTGACTGTTTTGTTAAGAAAACAATTTATCTATCTTGTTCATGCAGTTTTCTTCATTACATAGTATTTCATTGAAAAGGATTACACTTAAATGCATTAACTCATTCACCCCTGAAGACAGATTTGATGTCTTCCAATTCATAGGTTGGAATAGGTCATTATGAAATTTCAGGGGTGAATGAGTTACATTTACATGTTTCTTATTTCAAAAAGATTTCAACATTAATAGACATGTTAATTACTTTCTAAATTGTAGTTTTGACTTGTTAGTGACAATTAGAATGTAAAAAAAGTAAAACAATAATCTTTCATGCATTCTTACACAGTGAAACGCTTAATGCAAAATTGAAAGAAGGGAAGTAACTCTTCACATAACGACAAATAAAGGAGTGTTTGTATCCTGTTTGTATCCTATTTCTTAAGATTTCTGTATCTTTGGAGTTTTATGGGTTTTACGAGTGTATAAATCTGCTGTTTGTCCTGTAGTGTGTATTAGAAAAGAGTCTGATCATTTTGATTCAAAGTTGTGGAGGGAATTGTTTAAATGAGCTTTTAGGTCACCTGAGACAAAGTCTCAAGTGACCTATGCGAACGCCTTTTGTCCGTCGTCGTCCGTCGTGCGTCCGTAAACAATTTACATTTTCGACTTCTTCTCCAAAACCACTGAACCAATTTCAATGAGATTTTGCAGGAACCTTACATGGACTACGGTCAACAAAAATAGTTGCCGGTTTAGTCCCAAGCCCCCAGGGGCCTGAGGGGCGGGGCCAAAAAGGGTGAAATTGACTAAAATTTCAAAAATCTTCTTCTCAAGACCCAGATATGGTAGAATCAAATACTCTTCATAGATGGAAGGGTCTTAAGGTGCTTTACCATAATTGTGAGTTTCTTGGCCCTGGGGTCTCACGTTTTCCCCTGGGGAGGGGGTAATCTTTACTATAGTTTATATAGGGAAATCACATTTTGGACAAACATTTGTTTAATTTCCATTGGAAGTAATTCAATTTAGGTTAGCATTATCAGTTTTAGGTAGAAGTTTGATAGTATGCACATATCAGCCCTGACTGACCCCCGGGGCTGATGGGTGGGACCAAAAAGGGTCAAATTGACAAAAATTTCAAAAATCTTCTTCTCAAGACCCAGATATGGTAGAATCAAATACTCTTTATAGATGGAAGGGTCTTAAGGTGCTTTACCAAAATTGTGAATTTCTTGACCCTGGGGTCTCACATTTTCCCCTGGAGAGGGGGTAAACTTTACTAAAGTTTATATAGGGAAATCACATTTTGGACCAACATTTGTTTACTTTCCATTGGAAGTAATTCAATTTAGGTTAGCATTATCAGTTTTATTTTATTAAGGATTATAATGGCAAATGATACTTTGAATATTACATTTTGAGCCAGCCCTACCCCCAAGGGCTGTAGGGGGGGGCTCAATGGAGTCAGTGTGCTAAAATTTCTTCATTTTCCTTGTTTAGAATCAGAGGTGCTAGTTTCAAATACTTTTTAGTCTTAAATCTGTATGGTCTTAAATCTGTATGCTAGATATTGAATAAGGTGGTTTTATTGTTTTTTGTCACTTTGAATAATATTTCTGTTCATGTTAAAAACAAAATCAACTCTCTGTATAAATATATCAGGTGACCGTTAAGGCCCATGGGCCTCTTGTTAAATTAAATGTTGTAAATCTGACCTTACACTTGCGTACCTGATATTTTCAGAGTCGGAGACCTGTGAGCGTCAGTGCTGTGGACCAAACCGAGGTTTCAACCTTCACATCACCGACAACTCAGGGCAGGTAGGTTAACAAGGGTGTCATAGGTGTATGTAGGTAAGGGACAGATCTGTTAAATTTTAACCTTAGTAAATAAACTGTTAATAACTGTAAAATCCAAAAAGGAAGCAAAAAGTGATTAATTTGACACACGCTTTGTCATAAATAAATAGCCTGGAGTAATTGCAGACAAAAAAGCTCTGCTCTGTAATTTTTTGTTTCACCAAAAAGAATTTGCAAAGTAGACCCAAATTAAGAATTTGGTTAAGACCAGGACTGAGTTTTACTAAAGGTTGTAAATCCACACGTTGACTTAGGCGTAACTTACGTCAAAAATCTGTTTTACTGAAGGTCGTAACTTTTAGTTACGAGTTAAGATATGCGTAAGTCTATGTCTGCCTCTGAGCACACGTAAGTTCACACATAAGTATACGTCTACGCGTAAGATCACACGTTAGTAACGTAAACATGAACATGTCCGCGTTCCTACTTCTGCAACATCATTTGATGGTTATCGAGCAGACACTGTTTACACTAAAATAAAAGTACACGATACGCATGTACCATAATGCGTTGCTATATCATTTTTATCTCTGATTTGGAGAGTTCCAGTTGTAAGTCTACGTCCAAGGTTACGTTTAACCCTACATTTATGTTCGGAGTTACGACCTTTGATAAAACGGACCTTACGCAACCGTAACTAAAATCCGAACTCGACTAACGTCTACATCTTACGACCTTTAGTAAAACTCAGTCCTGGTTGCAGGCTGGAAGAGCCGGAAGCTGACAATATCACCAGATTTGGGCTGACACCGATATATCAATACATGGGCAGGCAATATGGACAGGTTGAATATAATTGATCACAAATGCAATATGATTGATATTTTAATAAGTTTAATAAATTGTACATATATATCTATTTCTGCATAAGATCATCGAAAGTACAGTCAAAGTTTTGTGTGCTGTACATGTCTTCCGGTATGTCTGATGTGTATATCTTATGTTTCTAGGAAATCATCAAATGCACTCGTGAGTTTAAGTGCTGTGTGGGATGCTGCTGGTGTGCCAATGCTGATGGCTGTGCCCATGAAATCGCTGTCGAGGCGCCCCCGGGCACAATTGTTGGATATGTCAGGCAGGAGTAAGTTGTTTTAAATCTCACATTTTCAATACAAATATAGGCAATGGTTGTGCTAAACAAAAAAATGGGTTGAATTAAAGAATATGCTGTGACTACTCCAACAGTGTTAGAGGTTTACATGGCGGGATACTTATGACAGGCGCTGCATAACTCGCAGTCGGCAATCATATACGATAGGAAAAAGGCCGACCAGCAGCCTCTTATGTTATAGGAGTAGCTGTGACTACAAAGATGTTTACATTGTCAAAGGGAAATAACTCTTGATTTTTTTCACCAAATGTTGGTCTGTGGAAGGGTTAGCAGTTTGATGTATTGACAGCCTAATCAAAACGTAAAACAATAATAATAAGAATAATAATTTGAGGTTCTTATATACCGCTTTATCACAACCTAGTTTGTAGCTCATCTCTCAAAGCGGTTCACAAGTTATTATCCGTGGTTATAGGGCCTTTGCAACCAGCCAATACCTTTTCAACTCCCTTGGGAGCATACAGCCACAGCTGCCATTTCAGCGCTAACAGCTAGCATTCAACAATTCTAGCACTGCCCAAACACATACTCATTTACAGATGAGTAGACTGGAACAAGTGGAGTAAAGTATCTTGCTCAAAGATACAACACAGTGCCGTGACTGGAACCTGCAACCCTTCGGTCACGAGCCTGGCGCCCTACCACTAGACTACTGTGCCTCCAATCATTGCTTAACATTTGACAACATGAAGGCCAATTGTTTACATCTCTGGATTGTGATCATACATGTGTAGTACGACGTGAAATAGTGATATAGATAGTGCCATTGCTGGGGCTCGAACCCGCGACCCTTGGCTCTCTAGCTTTGCCACTGAGCTAAAGGGAAATTCCCTACACCTGACAGTTGTAAGGCATCCTAATCAATGCACATCTTTTACACATGAATATGTCCAGGGCCCGTATTCATTAAACCATTCTCATTCTCTAATCATGGATTTTTTGCTCAAGATTAATTTCTTGTACAGGTTATAAATGATAAAACATTCTGAATTTGTCAATGATTTGGAAAACATTTGAAGGATGTTAAAGTATAATACTTTTTGCAATGTTTACAATTGACGTTTTGATCATTTGACCTGATTTAAGTGGATAACAAAAAAGCATGTTTGAGCACAGAATTCATGCTTGAGCATGAGAATGGTTTCATGAATACAGGCCCAGAGCTATAAATCATTTTATTTTTAGAGAAAAAAAAAGTTTTTTTATCAAACAACTTAATTACTGTGTTACAGAATGGAGCTGATTAGATAATTCTTGCTGTATTTATCTTCTTGTTTTTAGGCTTTAAAGTTCTGAATTATCATGATCAAAATTGCACCAATACCGTTTCCTGGTAGTGAAATTTCTAACAAAATTTCCTTGATTGTATGTAGGGGTAAAATTCCATGAAATGTTTTTGTGAGTAGGGGTAAAAATTCCATGAAATGTTTTTGTGAGTAGGGGTAAAAGTTCCATGAAATGGTTTTGTGAGTAGGGTGTAACATTCTTTGAATAATTTTTGATTGGGCGATAGTTTAGGGATTCTGATTATATTCCTTTACTTCTCCAGGCAGAGTTGTTGGACTCCACACTACAGTATCCGAGATGCCAACCATGAACCCGTTCTCAATGTCAAGGGACCATGCTGTGTGATGAACGGATGCTGCTGGGACCAGGAATTTATTGTAAGTAATGCTGTAAAGCTCAATCTTTATCTCTTATATAGTCTCCCATAGATTTAAGTGGATGTTCGGCTCAATCTCAATCTTTATATCTTAATCACCCATAGACTTACATAGAAACTTGGCACAAACTTTATATCCCATACACTTACATAGAGACTTGGCTCAAACTTATTTTTTCGTAGGCTTACATTGAGACTTGGTTCAAATTAATTTCCCATAGACTTACATGAAGACTTGGCACAAATTTAATCTCACATAGACTTACATACAGACTTCACTCAAACTTTATCTCAAATAGACATAGAGTCTTGGCTCTAACTTAATATCTTATAGGCTTACATAGAGACTTGGTTCAATCTCAATCTCAAATAGACTTACATAGAGACTTGGTTCAAACTTCTCCATAGACTTACATATAGACTTGGCACAAAATTAATATCCCATAGACTTACATAGAGACTTGGCTCAATTTAATCTCCCATAGAGACTTTGCACAAACTTAGTATCCCAAAGACTTATGTACATTTTTTCGCAAACTTAGTCTCTTAATATCCTATAGACTTACATAGAGACTTGGCTCAAACTTAATCTCTTTATCTCTCATAGACTTACATGCAGACTTGGATCAAACTTAATATATTAATATTTCATAGACTTACATAGAGTCTTGGCACAAACTTAATCTTACATAAACTTACATACAGACCTTGACCAACCTTTGACTGATATAGAAACTTAGCTCAAACTTAGGCTGAGTGTCACAGTGTAGATGATGCTGGTGTTGTGGTCAGCAATGATTCTGGTGTCTCTGTCCAATCAGGTTTGGTCCAAGGACTGGTCAGCTGAGGTCGGAAAACTCAGCAAGCAATGGAGTGGATTTGCCAAGGAGTACTTTACAGATGCTGACAACTTTGGAATCACCTGTAAGTGTTTAAACTGGATTGTCTCCCCTTCGTTGTGAATATGAAGCTTTGATTGTATGTAGTTCTGCCTTAACTCAATCACCATCAAAAGATAACTAGGGGTAACTCGAGGAAAATCAAGCTCACTGTCGTAATATATATTTATTACTTTGGATTGGAATCACATACAAGTGTTAAACTAGGGTTATCTCCCCTTTGTTAAGATAAAACTTTACTGTAATTGCATGTAATTATGGCATAGTTAAATCATCAACTTAACTCAACCATGTATAATTAGAGAACAAACTAACTTGCTTAGGTAACATGTATTTGTTCATCTTTCATTCAAAGATAAGAAGGTATCAGATCATGTTGTAGTGACGGATTACTCCTTTTCTTGAATATGAAATTGCATGTTGTATTCAAGATTTCTGAGGTAACCCTATATATCTTGCTTTAGTCTTACATACGTGGTTTCTCTTTGATATTGTCTTTAGTTCCCATGGATCTGGATGTCAAAATGAAGGCAGTCATGTTGGGTGCTATTTTCCTCATTGTAAGTGTATATTTTCTCCAGTTATTTTCATAAAATAGATTGAATTATTTATTAACTCATTCACCCCTGTATTTTCATGATGAACTATTCCAACCTTTGAATTTGAAGAGTTCAAATATGTCTTCAGGGGTGAATGAGTTAATTTAACCTTCAGTGAATTATTTATTCATTTAACCTTCAGCCTTTAGGGTTTTTATAATGATGTGACTACAGTATTGAATGCTAAACATTGATATTGCAAATGTTCAAAATTCACCAATTAAAAAATAAATAAAAATAAAATAAAAAAAAGAGTATATTTTGTAGTTTGATATACCGGTAGTCTTTTTTATAAACCACCACAAAGGTTTAAGTTGGGTATATAAAAGCAGTTTTGTTGTGGGAATATTAGTTTCACAGTCTTAATTTGTGTAGCTTTTAATCAACATCCTTTCATTTAAGCTTCACAGTTCTAAGGTCAAAGGTCATGGTAACTGTTGCCCGTGTAACAGCCAATTCTTTTCCCCACCGCTGAAAGTTTCCCCGGGGAAAGAATCAGATAGCTGTTTAAGTATCTAGGTCCTAATTAACCGATACAATTTCTAGCTTACCTTTTTTAAACTTCACACAAATGTACACATCTATACATTACCCAAAGACCAAGAAATCTATTCATATTTTGGTTGAAAGGTCATAGGTCAAGGTCACTGTGATGTGGTTTACTTCAAAATGCTTTCTTGACCAGTTTTCAACCTTTTGTTTACTTTCCTAATATTTTTAGACATTACCCATATAAGATTAAAACAAACGTGATTGTGTTTTATTTGACCAACTTAACAGTCACTGACAAAGAAATGTGTAAAATTCCTAACTGTTAATTCAACAATGTGTTTTATTTGCTATGAAAAAGTTGCTAATTATGGCATTCATTTTTTTCTCTCTCGCCAGGATTTCATATTCTTTGAGCAGAAACAGAACAACCGCTAAGCCTTATTACCCTACAGAAAATCCGTAACCTCTACCAAGGAAACATTGTGAAATCCAGAAACTTGACTACAATATTCATCTTCTACTGCGTGTAAATACAAACACCCATAAACAAGAAAAAAATTAACACCTTATAACCAAAGAGGCAGATTCTTCACGGATTTTATACTACTGTGCACTTCATTTCATCTTTCTTAGCGCCTCATGACTGAGGAACAACATGTTGGGAACATATTTCTTGGATTTTTTTACATTTTGTTTTAATCATGTGCATAACTGGACTGGTAACACTTACACAAATATTTATTTATATTGCAGAAATACTGTTTTTGTCATTTTTACAAACTCCAATGTGTGCAAGAGAGGTTTGCTATGAAAACCATTTATTTTCTATACACATTCTTGTGATCAATGAAACTTGATATTTTGTTTAAATACAAGAACTGTATTCCCGTTTTAAGAACCTATTTTCCTGTGAAAGAAATGTGTTGAATTTTAATGTTATGATTTTACATGAGAAAGATAACTAAGGGAAACTTGACAGCATGCCTTCAAGGGGATTCGGTCCAATTTTATGATGCATATAATCTATAAAAAGCATTCTTTCTTTTTGATAAATGCCCCTAAACATTTCAAGTTTTTTAGCATTGGGTACTTAATACAGAGGATACAGTGTTCCTTATCTTCTAGCTAAAGAGGTGTCGAATAAACAATATAAATGCATTATTTCTTTCTACGGGTTCATGTTTGTTATGATCTATTTATTATTATTTTGCAAGATTTTGAATTGGAACACAATTTTAATATCTATCTGATGAATTGTATTGTATTAAAAATTGTAGTTATGCAATAGGGAGACAATAAAATTTTATTCTCGTATTTCTAGTAATTTTGGTGATTTGTACATACTCAAGTTTTATAAGCTCCTTTCAGGAATCCAGCTTTCCCTATGTTTGTTACATATCCATGTCCTAGACCTGTTGTACATATCTTATGTCTATAACATCTCACTGTTCAGTTGTATCATTACTATGTAAACAATGATATTGTGTTTTTATATTTTTTGAGTAAAAAAAAATATCAATTTTGATAAACAAATTTGAACTGTTGCTTTAATATCAATTTCTATCATAAATGGAATATTTCATTAACTTGTTTCACCCCTGAAATTTTGAAAATAAACTATTCCAACATTTGAATTGGGAGAGTTCAAATGTGTCTTCAGGGGTGAATGAGTTAATGTACTGTCAAGAATACATTTACTAGGATTTTTTTGTGTGGAATTTTATCATACTTTGTTGGATGGCTGAGTGGAGAGTGCACTCGCCTTCATCAAGGCAGCCAGAGTTTGATTTCCCGATGGGATGTGAATATATAAAGGAGTCGCCTGCACGATTATCTGGGTTTTCCTCAGGTTCACCCCTTCTTTAAAACCCCCGTGTTCTACCATCCAGGCCAACAACAGTGATTTATATAAGTTAAGGAACTTGTTTCATAATTGTTGTAAAAGATTATCAGACTTAATTTTAATAATTGAAGAAGTTGAAGACGCATTCAATTCCTGTTCACAAATGTTGATTTTTTTATCTCCCCGTGCGACTGTGGCATAAACATCAAGGTTTTTTTTCGGTTCACTAAGTTTCACTGAAAGTATAAGTGCTAGACCAACCAAACCTGGACCATAGATGCATCCTATAGGTAGTACATCTCAACCAATGCATCAAATGCTGGATGCCGTCTACCTTTCATGGTATAGTGACTTTGTCAGCATCTCCATCAACATTAAAGTTTTGGGATTTAAGTTAGTTTCTCTGAACATTTTAGTGCTACACTAACCAAACTTGCACCATAGCTTGCATTGATGGTCAAAGCGGGACACAGGTGAGACATATCAATCTAAATGGCTTGTTTTGTTCTGAAAATAGACATTAAGGATAGGTTCCCTTTGTTTAAACACGTAAAAAGCCACATGCTATCTTTCAGTAAAACTAAATGAGTTTGAAAACCTATAAAATTCACAAAAGCCTAGCACTTGTATGAATTGCTTGTGTAAATAATGTTTATAACTAAATCACTTTATGCAAAAGTTTCTGTTTAACAGTTGTGGCAAGGAAATTAATGCATACATCTTCAGTGTTGTCTTTGTTGTTCTTAATTTAAAATTTCATTTTTCATACATGTACAATGATGTTTTATTCCGTATGCTCATGCCTTGTGTATATATTGGGAAGAATTTCTGCAAATATTTCAGTCATCTCTGAAAAATTCTTATACTTGTATGTTACACTGAATAATAGGTTTTATATCAAAATTTTAACTCCATGACCATTTAAGATACATTTTTACGGCCTATGATACAGCTTATGAATAATTTTGCCTAATATACTGCCTGTACGCTTTATTCGGAACATATCCATTTAAAACATATACATGATATTATTTTTATAAGATATCTTTAAATTTGTAAGGAAATTTTATTGGCTAAATATGAATAGATCATCAGAACTTCATCAAATTGTCTGTTGAGGCAGGTCCCGAACTTAAAAAAAGTTCGAATAAAATGGACCTTTTTGAAATATATTTTACACATTGTGATTATCTTCATCAGCATTAATAGTTGAATTTTGGTGATTTCTTTGTAGGTAAATAGACTTTTAAACCTTTTAGACATTCCTTCGTTGTGTGAAACTCGTCATGACAATCAAGCAATTTCTAGTGAATTTGTTAATAATAGTATTTTAATTCTGGTATCTTAGAACTTGATTTTATTCAATGTTTGTTGTTTTAATTTTGTTGTCACGGAAATAGCATCACATTATTTATGGGACCTATTTTAGACAAAATTGCGGAACATGGAGTAGAAATTTCATTGTTTGTGCATGGTAGAAGCCCTGAAGAAAAAATAAAATTCAATTAAAAACTTTTGTTAAAGATTTTTTTTTTATTTTCTTATATGCATATATTACAGTCCATAGTAACAAGTCTATGTTATAATATTCCTAAAACTACAGTTTCCTACAAACAAGAAGTCATAAGGAAGACATTTCTGGCCTTTGGTTTACTAGTTGACAATCATAACCGTGTACTAACTTTTACAAATTTTGGCAGTATTCAATGTCTTAAGTCAATGTGGAAAACTGAACAAAAGTAAAGACATCTTGCAAAACCTTGGAAAACTCCACAAAACTGTTTCTATTTACATCAGACGAGATTTTTGGATCCCCTCTCAGACTGTTGTCAACATATTTAATATTTTTACAGCTTCACCAGATATGATTCTGATTAAATCAATGCTTCATATTAATTTGATACTGGTATGTTAAATACAGAGTACAGCTACAAACCATACTCTCTCAAGATTACTTTTTGAATTACTATTCCACCTTCTGAGAGAGTACTTTTGAAATTACTATCCCACCTTCTGAGAAAGTACTTTTGGAATTAATATCCCACCTTCTGAGAGAGTACTTTTGAAATTACTATCCCACCTTCTGAGAAAGTACTTTTGGAATTAATATCCCACCTTCTGAGAGAGTACTTTTGAAATTACTATCCCCCCTTCTGAGATAGTGCTTTTGAAATTATTATCCCACCTTCTGAGAGAGTACTTTTGAAATTACTATCCCCCCTTCTGAGATAGTGCTTTTGAAATTATTATCCCACCTTCTGAGAGAGTACTTTTGAAATTACTATCCCCCCTTCTGAGATAGTGCTTTTGAAATTATTATCCCACCTTCTGAGAGAGTACTTTTGAAATTACTATCCCACCTTCTGAGAAAGTACTTTTGGAATTACTATCCCACCTTCTGAGAGAGTACATTGGAATTACTATCCCACCTTCTGAGAGGGTACTTTTGGAATTACTATCCCACCTTCTGAGAGAGTACATTGGAATTACTATCCCACCTTCTGAGAGGGTACTTTTGGAATTACTATCCCACCTTCTGAGAGAATACTTTTGGAATTACTATCCAACCTTCTGAGAGAGTATCGGTACACAATTAATACAATTAGCATATACATTAATCAATACAATTTTAGAGGAATTAGCAGGAGCTGCCTTATCAGACGCTAACTACTAGTCCTATGCCACCTGGCTAATATCCCCCTATGTGTGTATGGCTGCATGTGTGCTGGAGATGTAATGTGTTCTGTTTGAATGCTACAGCACAGATACCGCAACATCTACCCAAGACCAATTTAAACTCCACCTGGGTTGTTGGAGTTGTGTGAGCAGGAGAAAAACACTTTCTCTGAATATCCATGCGTACCACGACTTCGGAGATCGAACCCCGGCCGCCTGCATGGAAGGCTGGAGTGTGTTAACCACTCAACCAATCCGTCCATAGTAGTGCATGTTTCATTCTAAGACTGATCAGAAGAACAAAATGGCTGCAAGGCAGTAATGTTTGATTTTGAAGGGTTATCTTTATCATTTTATGTCATGGCACGGCGTGTGTCATTCGTCCGTCTGTCGTCGTCCATCAACTTTTCCTTTAAACAACCTCTTCTGAAGGAATTGACAGGCCTAGAGTCTTGATATTTGGCTGAAAGCTTTGTTGGCAAGAGCCCGACACAATTGGAAAACGACCTTGGCCAACTTTCAAGGTCACAGGGGTCAAATGTGTCAAACACTTTTAACAACTTCTTCTGAACTGAAAGGTATAGCATTTCATATTTTTACTTTCTTGGGATGGGGCCCGACAAAGTTTGAGAATAAATATGACCTTGACTTACTTTCAAGGTCTCTGGGGTCAAATATGTGAGACACTTTAAACATTTTCTGAAGAATAACTGAAATGTATAGAATTATAATATTTGGCTGGTAGCTTCCTGGGATGAAGCCTGACAAATTTTGCGAACGAAAATAACCTCAACCTACTTTAAAGGTCGCTGAGGACAACTACACTTCAAACGACCAGATAATCTCCAGCCCCTGAGATAAACACTTTAATCCATTCCCTTGTCATTTGCGCAATCCAATTCAACCAGATACACTGTTGAAGTATAAGAACATGTTTTATTAGCTCACCTACCCGAAGGGCTCAGATGAAGGGCTACCAAGTTTGACCTTGGTTGACCTTCATCCATTTTCAAGGTCACAGGGGTCAAATATGTTTAAAAAAAAACTTTAAACAACTTCTTCTCAATAACCAAGAGGCCAAGGATGATATTTGGCCAGTAGCATGCTGAGGTAAAGTGCAACCAAGTTTGTTCTAACGAATGACCTTGACATATATTCATTGTCGCAGGGGTCAAATATGTTTAAAACCTTTAAACGACTTACCAAGAGGCCTAGGGTTATGCTATTTTGCCAGTTAGATGCTGGGAAGAAGGGCTACCAAGTTTGTTCACATAAATGTTCTTCACCCATTTTCAAGGTCACAGGGATCGAATATGTTTAAATCTTTAAATGACTTGTTCTGAATAATCAAAAGGTCCAGGGTAATGATATTTGGCCAGAAGCATGCTGGGACGGAAGGTCACAGGCATCTTATGTTTAAATCATTTAATAGATTCTAATGAATCGAATACAGATATTTTGCCTGTAGCTTAGTCCACTTTTAAGATTACAAGTGTGAGATTAATACCAGGTGAGTGATTCAGGCCCATTGGGCCTCTTGTTGGTAGGAAACTGGTTTTGATATACGCGTACAGGGTTTGCGATGTGAGAGGAATTATTTAGTGATTAATCCAAACAGCATCAATCTTCAACTTTTCATTTTATTCCAGGATACAGGAAGTAAAACAACAAAACATAGAAACAAGACACGAGACGGAATACCATTATTCTCTTGATGGTTAATATAATATATATCATGTTAGTTGTATAACAAACGTATTGATAAACGAAGTATACTACTCACTTTTTGCTAAGGATCACTTTTATTTTTGGGCATATGTGAAAATAAATATTTTATTTGGTTTATACTGAGATTATTTTTGAAAAATTGATTGTTCTTTAAAATAAGAAGCATGCAAAAACTGCAGAGTGAGCCACAGGAAAGAGTTACCCTTAAAGTTGGTAACAACGAGGTATTCACTAAAAAACTGAAATTGAACAAAAGTCATCCTAAATAAACAGAAACCGTTTTAGTATAGAACGTTGTGAAGCCCATGAGCTTCACAACGTCTGCGCATGCTCCGAATGAGATCGCGTATCCGGTTTTGTGGGATAGCGTTCCACTCATGCAGCTACCAAAGCTGTTCCCAGTTCCTGGAGCGTTCTTGGCTGAACAATTCTGGCAGAGAGAGCTGTCTGCAGCATGTCCCACACATGCTCGATTGGGATTTAGATCCGGCGAGCGGGCTGGCCAATCCATTCGTTGAATAGTCTGTTGCTGTAGATACTGCTCAGTCACCCTTGCTCTATGTGGCCTAGCATTATCGTCCATAAGGATGAAGTTTTGAGGGCCGATAGCGCCAGCGTAGGGTCTGACATTGGCATCAAGGATTTCATCGCAGTAAATCCGGGCCTTAACGGTACCATTATGGAAGACATGGAGGTCAGTTTCCCCACGAAGGCTTATGCCTCCCCACACCATCACTGAACCTCCGCCATATCGGTCATGTTCCACAACGTTACCTGCATGGAACCTCTCCCCATGTTGTCTCTATACTCTAACGCGCCTGTCGGTGAAGTCGAATCAGAATCTGGACTCGTCAGTAAAAAGAACCGGTTCCCATTCCTGAAGAGTCCAAGTGCTGCGTGAGCTTGGGCCCAATCTAATCGGTCCCTAACATGGCAGGCAGTTAAGGGAAATCGTATTGCTGGTCTACGTGACCTTAAACCAGTAACATGAAGACGGTTCCTACCTGTCTGAGTGGCTACCCGGGTACGAGAAGGATTAAGGAGGTCATTTCGTAAAGCTGTGGCAGTCTGGAACCTGTGACGACGTGCCTTTATGAGCAAAAATCGGTCTTGGCGCTGCGTTGTACCTCTAGAACGACCACCAGCATGACATGTGGATGGGTTTCCGTTAGTTTGTAAACAATTCCACATTTTGCCACCACACTTTTAGACGCCCCAAGGTCTGCTGCAACCTGACGTTGAGACATGCTAACTTGCAGCATTCCGATTCATTTCACCGTCATTTAATCGTTGTCTGGTTTGTTAAAATAAAAACACACAAAGAATATTCATCAAATTGATTTCCTTAACAATTTGAACAACGCCTTACTTAGCTTTTGAAACGGGTGTACACGTGGAAAAGCGTGCAGTCGCTTTTATGGTTGACTGAACACACCCACACAGGACGATTTGGAAGGCTTACATATTCGCCCAAAACAGTACGGAAGGAAAATACAATATCCTTTCTAGCATTTTTATTTTTTATTTCAAATATAGGTCATCCTTAGCAAAATGTGAGTAGTATATATACTTATATTTACAGTCTTTCGACTACTCGGAGCGTGTTTCTACATTCGTATATGCAGTTATTTTCAGTAATAACTGAAAACTCAATATGACTCTAACATCCGTTTAATCAATTATTCATACAACACTTCAGATTTCAGATTTCAGATATCAGATTCTTGATTGGCCAAGAGCTAATACTGTTATGACACTATAATGCTTCAGGAACAGCCTATCAAATTACTGTACATCCTATAATATAAATTGTTAATACAGTATTACAATGGATATAGTTAAATTTCTCGTACGCTAAATTTAGCCTTGTGCCACATGTTGCACATTTCATGATTAAAACTTCTTTTTAAAATATTTCACGTATCCCTCTTAGTCTTTGACGATTTGGTGGTCACGTGTCCCTCTTAGTCTTTGACGATTTGGTGGTCACGTGTCCTTTTTGGTCGCACGTGCATGTCACGCCCATGATGATGCACGCGGACATGATCAGTGTTGAGATAGGAAGCATACTCATCGCAACAGCCATTGTAAACCAACCTAAAAAAATAGTTTCATTTAAATATTGATACTCATCGTTACAACAATTGTAAACCCACATACAGGACATATTAGTGTATGGTCCCTGTCCCACGACACTTAGGTTTACCGTATTTACCGTGATCTCCCATTAATTTCGTTTTGTATATAACTAGCAAAAGTTTGGCCAGGAGGCTTCAGCTTCCGTTGAACAGGTAGCCAAGTCGATTAGAACGTTAGTTTAACAATGGGGAATCCAGGGTTTGAATCCCAGTCTAGCCTCACTGATTTATTTTACACTCTGAACACTGGTGTTGATAATAATTTGCTTATTTCATCTGTGTTATTTTTCCATTAAATTCCAACATTGTATGGTTTCTCTTCGGAAATGATTTTATCAAAACTACAGTCTTGCTGAAAAAATAGTTTGTGTCAGCGGTGCGGGGATCCTTAAAATATTGGCACTGTAGTCATGGTAACAGTCAATAAAAGTCATTATTATATGACTGGTGCTAATTCCCCGCCCTGATTGGAGGAGCAACGTCATGTGACGAGTCTGTAAATATGTTACAAATCTCGTTCTATGAATAGAAAAGTGTTACAGACCTCGACCTATAAATAGAAAAGTGTTACAAACCACTACTAAAAATAGGCCTAGGTAATTTCCCAGCCAGTCTGTAATTCTGTTACCAGTCACACTTCTGAATTCAACTACAAATTAGTTATCTCATCAATGTGAATATTGATGATGTCGATTGTGCAAACAATATTTACTTGAAATTAAATATCACATGAATTGAATCTGAAATTCAATTTTCGTGTATGTTATTTTGTATTTGAAGTCCTTCACTCTTTGATTCCAAAATAGTCCATGCCATCCATAATCTCATTGTAAAATATCATGTAATAAAACAATTGTGGACTTCAGTTTCGGTCTATCCCTGATTTACGGACCTGCTCAGAACAATATTCACCTCGGCCTTCGGCTTCTGTGAATACTGTTTAGACCAGGTTCGTAAACCAGAGATAGACCTCACCTGAAGTCCATAATTTTATAATCCTCTGTTGTGTCTTTGTAATATTAGAACAGAACCGTACAATAGTCTAGTGTTTAAGTCAAACGACATAATTATACTATTTGTATCTTACTGACCAAACGAATTTTAGCGAACCAAATTATGTGTTGCAATATAGGTGCAACGTATAAAACATTTCATCATTTAACATATTTCATTATTTCACTTGTTCCTATGAGATAATACATTAATCAATTAATTATGCATTGCATAGAATATGTTCATTCAATTCGTCTTTCTTTCAAACATTTTTTATTTTGATACTCCTGTTCCAAATATTGGTTCACACCAAAATCGTCTTACGTACCTGGTGGCACATATGCCCTTTTCCTAGATGCTGCTTTGACCGCCACTTCCAGATAGTTTTGTGTGGCTATGAGTCCGTCAGAACAGCAGAGTGTCAGCTTGTAATGGTCGCTTATCAAACGATTGTCAAATCGGGATTCATTGGCAATCATCACACGAGGGTCTATAAGTATAATAAAACATTAATACATCTGTAACAAGTGACAACAGGCAAAAATACCACAGCGTCAACGCATAGGGACTAAAAAATGGGAACAAAAATTTAATACAAAAAAGCACAAGAAATTGTAGGGACATCGAAACAAAACGGAGTGCATCACGAACTCCATTTAACATGGAGGTGAAACGATTGGATCCAGTCGAAAGTCTAGTATATGAAAACTGAAGATATATTTCTTACGTTTATGCATTTATACTCAAAAGAGATTGAAGTCTAACTTTTTAACCTTTAATCCGCGCTCTAAAACCTAACTCTTAGCACTAACCCTAGAATGCCAGGCTTCACGTTGGTGACATATCAATTTCGAATCCATTTCAGATGCTTTGCAAATGTTAATCAATACTCAAATTGTCTGTATTATCGGGCAAAAATCCATCCTTACTTTTCAGATATTGCTGCTAAAATTGTCTTATTAGTTTGAACCACCGATGCTCTATGGAATCTTTCACAATTTTATCTGATTATATAACATATATTTATGTTTATATTCATTTTCAGTATTGTAAAATATTTATAAAAAATTAAAGTTTATATCTTCCGATATAACATTATAATGCAAACAATATATTTACTTACCGTTATTAGTCACATTGAGAAGGAAGTTGGAAGACGTAGGACTTACGCCGGAAATATGGCAGCAGACGGAATCGTTACTTTAATCCACAAGATTCAGATGGAAAATGGTTTCGCCAGCAGTTATATTATCAGTGATAAATATCACTGTTGGTAGATTCTCGAGGACGGGAGGCTAGGCGAGACAGGAATATGTAAGATAATCTTGAATATATCCAAAGAAATAGCAATGAGTTTAACTACCTTTTTGCATAAGTAACTCATTCACCCCTGAAGACACATTTGAATTCTTCCAATTCAATGGTTGGAATAGTTCATTATGAAATTTCAGGGGTGAATGAGTTAAACAAAGGCAGCATTTTGTCGTCTGACAAAGAGTTTTCTCACGAATAAGATTCGCTGAAACAATGCACGTGAGTTATCATACCGAGCAAAGAGAAAAAAGACTAATGCATTGATTTTGTTTATAAATGTGATTCTGTGACATTATTTTCACTTTGATGTCGTAAGATGAATATGTAAAACAGGAACTTGTATTATGTTATAACAAAAGTTGACATACTAATGCAAAAGCAAACAGTTTAACAAATATGTTACTGTGTTATTGTATCTAATATAAGTGATACATGTATATTGTTGTACATTTGTCTTGGTTGAAATTCCTTAGTAAATCATTTTGTGATAGCATGCATTTTTCAAACATTTTGTGTATTGTTGTGTTATGTAACATTTTCCTTATTATGAAATGACAACAGTAAATAGTGCCGACTAATTAGGAAATGATACACAACATGACAATGACTTTGTTCTCATAAACTGGTCAACGTGTAGAGAATTTACATAAAGACATTTCTAAATGCAACTGACATGTGTGTTACACTTACTGAATTGTAGGTAGTGATTACGACTGTTGTAGTTAATTGGTGCCGACACGAGTCTGTGGATAGAACGCTCATTGAGTACTTTGCATAGGAACGGGGTAGTACGGATTTTACTTTTATTTCACCTGAGAATAAAGACAAAACATAATAATTTCGGTAACAAATCGGTATACAAAACGTTTGTGATAGATGTATAGATGCATGCATGCATGGATGGATAGATTGATAGATCGGTGGGTGGGTGGATGGATGGATGGATGGATAGATCAATGGGTGGATGGATGGATGGATGGATTGATCAATGGGTGGATGGATGGATGGATAGATCAATGGGTGGATGGATGGATGGGTGGATGGAGAAACCCCATAGTGTTTATATATTTAACCTTGTTTTCCTATTATGCACGTGATTATTACATCTCTACTGCTATGCACTGTCCATACACAAACGTGTATTAAGAGAGCACTATTGGGAAGACCAAAAAAGAGATATCTTAGCACAAATGGTCTCTTTAAATATGTTCAGCTAACATAATGAAATAACTACAACGGGAAACATTGAACGTGGTCTCTTAAACAGGCACTCTCTTAATTGAAGTTGTCACATACGTAATTTTGACTGTATATCAAGTCAGACTACTGACCACTATGAACTGTCAGAAAGTACAACGTTGCAAGCATGCATTAAAAGGGATTGGTAAATAGGAACTGTCTGATCTGTATGACCCATTCATAAATATCGGAAAGGCCCGGATGGTATTCCTTTTAACAAATATGTACATGTATCGCTTATATTTGTTCAACAGTTTTATTCACGCAAAGAAGTAAGTTAAGTTTAACCTACCTGTAGAGGTATCAAAATAGAAGTACGTATGATTTAGGACATGCGTGAAGATCTCCGCTTTGTCTGGGTCTACTGGTGCATACGTCATCACAACGTCACCGACCGCGAGGTGGTCCGGGATCAGTGCTGTCGTCTGCTTCGTAGGTGATGGGGCAGTGTCTGCAAAATATATCTCAAGTTATTGAATATTTCGATCATTCACAAGAAAAAATATAATTCATATTTGTTATGATGTAGTCTAATACGGATTTGCACATTGTATTTACCGTTTATAATATACATATTGCTAAATATAAATCCAATCTTTCATTCTTGAACTGTTTATCATCATCTGATATTTTATGTTTTAAATACACACTGCTAACAGAAATTAAGTGGTGGGGGTTGGAAGCTGAAACCATGTAATGACAGTAGGATATAAAAAAAAAACTCATTGAAAAATCCATTAAAGATACACAAATTGATTATTTTAACTTGCGTAATTGTAAAATTAAACAGTTTCAGTGCGTAAACCACCACCTAAATCCACTACAATATCAATATCTTACATATTGCTACTCGATTCCGTGTTTTCGCGCACCGACATCACGAAAACACACTTATGATCAAAATTTATTTTTTAAATTTTTCGTAAAATAATACTAAAAGTGACCACGGGATATTGCAAAGACATTGTCTATATCCTACTGCTAGCTGATTCAAGTTATGAAGGTGAGTTTATAATTCTTTCTTTTTAGTAAGATGTATAAATAATGTTTTGTCCTGTCTTATTTAATTGTCTGATAATAATGGTCATCATCCAAACACATGCTATACAATTCGCATCGCATGATCGCTTAATCGTCCCTTTCCTTTTCCTTAGTAGTAAATAACACCACCTCATTTACATTTCGCAACCAACTGCCTATACTCTGCAGCAGTCTGTTAAGACATCAGAACTTCATTTAAGCAGGGTTTCTAGACCAGGGGAGACTACAATCTACGTTATTTTGATACTTCAGTGTCTATCATGAAAACCGATTTAAAATATATTTAATAAACATGTACTCTTTGTACATTCCCGGAGATGACGGAGACATCTTAGCGGGTTAGCCAAATGCAATACATTATTATTGCAAATGGTCTCTTCGTTTTCGTTTGATGTATTAAATGTAAGTTGATTTATTAACAGTCACCTCTATGAAATATTTTGAATAAGAACCCTTTTGGATTAATTTGTACAGGTCTTTTACACACGTGTGCTTACCGTTACCGATAAAATTACAAAAAAATACTCGTCACTGTTTATTAAAGGTAATATAAATGTACATCAGAACTTGCCTTCATATATAATAAGATTGCAAACTAAGCATGTTGTTTATGGATAAAGTTTTTTAAATCGTGATAAAACGAGAGTTGCGGAAACCATATCACCGCGAACACAACACATTACACGATAACACTTTAATTCCCAATATATGGCAGGCTATACATACTATTTGTTGCGTGTACTCGGAAATCATACACACGACCAGACACCGCCGATACACTGGAACCTCCCCAGTCTGACGTAATGCCGGGCTCAAGCAACGTCACAGTACTCCTTTGATATGACCCAGGACATGTGCTGGCATCCACACACAATGCGTAGGCCGGAATTACTGCACCGGTGCTGTACCTAATACAATTATATTATAATTTACCCTGGAATTTGTTTCTCTGCTAAATTCCTCTTGTTTTTTCCCCATATCAACAACGAGCTCCATTTTATTTTATTTTTCTTGAATAAACAATTCTTAGATATTTGATGACAAAACATTTGTGATGAACTTTTTTGAGATTATGTTGCTAATTTCTAAGATAGTGTTATGTCAAAATGTCGAGATACTAACTCAAATTTGACTTCAAAAGCTCGATTTATTAATTAACAATTTTGAGATTCTAACTTGGGATTTTGAGCAAGTTTCTCTAAATTTCGGATTAGTAATATGACGAAACGAAATTATTCTTTTTAATACTTTTCCGTATCCTTACTTGACTCTGATTAATATTATTTTATTTTATTTTCTTCTTTGAAATTGACATACCACCCAAACGTATCTCCATCTGTAATGATAATACGGCTTCCAACTGGAAAGGTGTAGTTGACAACGGTTCCAACTTGTGAATCTAAAACAGAAAACAAAAATACGAAAACAAGAGGCACATGGAAGCTGAATCGTTCACCTCTAATTCAAAGTGTTGACGAGTGACAATTTATAATGAAATTGACGAGTGACAATTTATAATGAAATGGTAGAGAGGCCTTTGAAGTTTTCAAGACATTAGCTAGTGAATATTAGACTAGTCATGTATATATGAATTAAATCAACAGTTCATCCCAGCCGTTGAGCTGTATGACAAATATAATGTCTTAGACGTTAAAGTTTATTATAAATAATGTATATCTTCATACATCTGATCCCTGACCTTGAATGAGTTGATAACCTACCTTAAATCAATCTGCATGATAATAAGTATACCTTTGGGCATACACATCCGGTACTTGATGTTGCTACCACTTGGGGTAACATGCAATATTTTGGGTTCACAAACATACATGTCTCCCCTAAATAAGGGCAATACATGCGTAGTAATCTTCCATGACTTTTAAAATTAGTTAGTGTACATTTATATGACTTATACCAAAGTATTGCGATTTGTAACATAACCCTTAACATTTGTGTTTCCATTCCAAAATAAGCTGGAAATTTCTAGTGACGAAGCCTATTCATTTTTCAAACCAGTCTTCTTTACTTTACTTTTATAATTAAAAATAACAAAAATGTGTGTATATAATTTCTTGTAAACTTCAAGTGAGGTCTACGAGTCGATCATGCAGACAAATATAATGACCGGCGATGTTACCTGTTATGATGACGTCACTTTTGCCTACAAGCCAGTACATGTGTCCGCCACTGCCATCACGTCTCCACACAATGAACTCCAGAGTACCTGATAGACTCGGCACAAACTCAACACCCGCCACAACCCCACAACAAGAAGGTATGTACATCTCGTCGGTCAGTAGGAAGGCCTGACCTGTAATTGATTGAATACTGCTGATCAAAGAATTACGCAGGTGTGTTTGTGGCTTAATCTCCTCCCAAAGCCAAGGTCATATAAAGACGGCTCCCTAGGGGGACACTGCCGAAACGAAATAGTAAGTAAACAAAAAAAGAGACAGATTCCAAATGTTGCAACCCAAATTGCAGCAACTGGTTGTTTTTGATTTATAAATGACAATAATAAATTAATTGATTAAAATAAATTTATGGTTTTAATATATAATTAAGATATACATTACCTGTAAATTTATCTGCATTGTTCACCGGATTTACTGGAGACTCATTGCCTATCACTTGCTCACCACAAACTATAGAATAACACATTATAAAGCAAGGTCAAGGTTGTTTAGAAAGTTGTCTTCAACATGATCACAAATACACGCCATAGGAAATCATCGCATTATTTATTATTTATTAAAAAAATAATTAATGTACTCATAATTTTACAGAAAGAATCAAGTCAAATGTGTCGGAAAAGTAGGCATATCCTACGTCATGGACGACACTCGCCGCCAGGGCATGTAACGTTCCCAAAGTGCGAACAGGGGTACTGACAAGGAAATAACAAGGTACATTATAATAAAAATCATCTATATTCAGATCACAAAAGGAGTTATAATATTTCCGAATGAGATCGAGATACCAAACTGAAAAATGTTGTCATTCTTTTTAAACATATATCCTATATGATTTGTTTGTCCATCAGCCTTCGACACACCTCAAATGGATCAACACAACAAATTAGCATTGATATAAAGGCAATTGGAACAAGAGAAACAATGGATACGAAACATATTTATTTAGTTTTCAGATACAAACAAGTTTTACCATTGAAAAATTAAAAAAAAGCGAATACAATGATAAGGAAAAATTACATTTTTATTATTTTGATATATATTTACTTACAGTAGTCACATGGAAAGGCATTGATAAGTTGGTCTACGATTCCATCTAGAGAATCATAATCGGGTGCTGTGAATACTTTGTTTGCGTCACCAGTTGCAGCGATAAGGTCACCGGGGTCATACCCGTCCACGCCAACAGCAAACAAAGTGAACCCTGCGTTTCTCGCAGCAATACCTGACGTCACAGTATCTGCAGAGTAGCCATCTGTTATCACGATGATGTAATCGTCGACCTCGGTGCGGTCACCATTGGCAACAGTGAACACTTGCTGCCGGGCGAAATCTATCCCCGCACCTATGGCAGTTCCTCCAGGAACGTATGACACGGACCCGATTGCCGTTAACAGAGACTCCTTGGTCTTGTGCTGATCTAACGTGAAGGCCAGTCTAGCTTTTGTATTAAAAGCAACAGCCCCGAACAACGTTCCCTGTTCTCCGATGGAAAATGCAGAGGCCACTTTCTGGAGAAATGCCAATTGCTTAATATAGTTTACATTCATGACGCTTCCTGACTCGTCTATGACGATGGCGATGTCTCTTTTTCCCGTCAAACATGCTGTAAGATATGAATATTAAATATTACAATAATAATTAATATCACATTGTGAAAATCATGATACCGTAAAGCTTCAAATATTTACATTTTTATCTAAATATCTTCACAAAAAAATGTGTGATTGTTTTTAACGGTGTGGGTCACGGAGATGATGAACCTGTACACTAATTCTCAGAAATTACATTTTACATGAAAGTTATATCAATACAGTATATGTCTTAAGTATCCCCGTAACACTGCCAAAACCTGTAACGGCATGACTATTATTTTGATATATCATTGCGGAAAGAAACCCATACCCGGTGGGACTTTTTTGACAAATAACATAGATGAAATAAACAAAATATAATCAACAACAGTGTTTTGATCGTGAAATAAAAGATCTGGACTAGACCAGGATTCGATACCTTGACCTCAGATTTATATACTACCACTCTAACCAATAGATCTAGACCTGGTCAATAGAAGGGTATTGGCATAACTGTGCTATAGTTATATCCAAACGGAAGTTAAGGGGATGTTACTGTATACATGCATATAGCAAACATCACAGTATAGTGGGACAGGGATCCTTAAAGAGTATTGATGGGTACATGCAATGTGTTGAATGAAGCCCATGGACCAGCATAGCTGGTACACAGATACGACAATAAGACAAGCTGTGTAAACGAGTACACAAGTATTCCTGTTTTTAGTGGCTCTCCGTTTAATACAACACATACACATTTCTCAATAGAGTGCGAATACTGTATATATTTCACTAATGATTTTTTTTATTGATTTTTATTCCTCTGCTGGATAACCGAACTACTCGGTAGTGAAGCGGACGTAAAATCTAATCAATCAATCAATCAATCAATCAATCAATCAATCAATCAATCAATCAATCATATATATCTTGCAGTCTGTCGCATGCGTGAAATATATAAACAAGTATATACTCTAAACGTTATGGGCTTCACGTAAATGTACTGAATGAATCACTTGAGATATACAACTTCAGTGTCTTAAACGTTGACATGGAAATCGTAAATTGGCAAATTGATCCATTAAAATAAAATAAAACCCAGCTACGTACGGAGGAGAAACGATAATTACATTTTATGTATTAACAACCCGAAAATATCACGATAACAGTACATTTTTGTACCATATACGTATGTTCTTGATATATACATTAAATGACCTATATAATGTGTGCATCATACCTCCCACGTTACGACATTAAGCAATCATATAGTTACTAAACTTAGGCTGTGCTTGTTTTGTACAATGATATTTATCACTGGAGTTGTTTTCACTTATGTGTAATCATATACGACAGGTATTTTGACAAAGGATAATGAGTGCTGTCAGCACACAATAGATGTAAAGTTCAGACTTGTTTATCTGTCACTACCAAAATATTAAAGTGCTATATATAACGTCTCGCGGTAACATTGTAATGTATGTGTTGCAAGCCAAAAGAAATAATTCATAATAGCAAAGGCATAAATATTGAAGTCTGGACATAAACCACGACCTTAAAGTTCACTCAGTATTGTACAAGGGATATTCATGACTTTTCGATGTCTATTATGTTGTTAAATATTTGTAATTATCAATACTTTAAGCGAACACAAATATGTAACATGATATATGATTAATTACGAACTTACCTCCGTCCAACATATTAAAAAATAGAAACAGTGCAAACACACATCTTTGTATTGCATTATTTCCCATACTGTTATCCCGAGTAAAGACAAAGTATTAAATGCCAGTTATACATATATGTCTACATATTACAACAAAAACGTATGAAACAGAATCAACGAGACCAAAAGGACTTTTGTTTATATCATTTGTACCTAATGCAATCTTCAGCTTCACTAAGCAATTATGGGTAAACAAGGAGAGCTTTCTTAATAAAAACATATCGACGGGTTTCACTTCCGTTCAAGTGCGTTAAGCCATTCAGGTAGCCTAATGTGAATGTTCCGCATCATGCATTTGTGTTTGTAATAGTACACGTATGTGTGTTTCTGTAATATACACATATCAACATACAGTTATTTAACTGTTTCCTTTGAATGGCTTTCTTGTGTTATATTTCTATATAAACAGAGTGCAGAGAAATCAGGGGCTTTTAACAACATTAGCAGTGAAAGAAAATTCTTAAAATAATTATCAAAATAATTAAAATAGTAAATAACTTTCGTTAAGCTAACATTTAGTTTTACACTTATCAAATGACACACTTTTTATGTAGATCGTTCGGATAACGTCAATATAATTTAGGGTTGCACAGTTATATGATGAATATACACGTTCAGGAAGGGTAAACACCGAGACAAATTATTTGAAAGTAGACCTGTCGACTACTACAGAAAGAGAATGAGTATCGCTGGTTAGCTTACAGTCCGTTAGGATGCTACTTCGAAGCGCGTACAAAAATGTAATAAGGTTGTTTCATATAGTACAGTAACTGTTCACATTCTTATAAGCTATTTTGGAGATATTCAGCAAGAAAAGCGTCATAATAAGGCTGAATTATTACGGATAATCTGCTGTATATATATATTCGCTAATCGGAAAAACCTTTTATTTGATAGAATATTTATTGTTATTTAACTGTGTTACCCGCTGCTCCATTTAAGACATTTTTCAGTTACAAAATATGATACAGTCTTTCAATAGGCAGATCAAACAGTAGAATATGTTTATTATCTGAATCGTAATGTTGGGGTTATTTACCTGGACATGATTTGCTATACGTCAGCTAATTTATAATGTAACAAGAGGGATAACTACTCTGGTTTTAAACGCTACATCGCGCTAGGTTTGGTTTGGATTTGACAACTAATTTCAAGAACCAACGGGATGATTTTAATCGATGCATTTTCAAAATTTTAACATCGTTATCACAAATGGTGATGAGCTAGTATCGAAAACTGCATGTATATGAAAAATGTGGAGTGTCTTACAGGGTCATTTGCACATATATATCTATATAAATTATAAGGCGGAAGGCAGATCACATGTTGATGTTCTTAAGCGTACCTGGTTTTGCTTAGAATGGTTTAGTCAGAACTACATGTATATACATAGATACAATGTATATATATACGTGCAGTCACACAGGTAAAAACGTAATTTGTTCTGAATAAAATTTTCTCTCTTGTGCTTTGCACGGTGGTGCACGGGATCGGCCCTCAACACCGTAGACTATATTTACATATGTAATATTCCATGTGTTCAGACAATTAATATTTGAACGCATTTTTTTTAGATACTGCAATTTATATGAAAACAACCAGAGAATTAAGAAATTTAGAGAAGGCAAGAAGGACAGATAAGGAGAAGAAAAAGACGAAAAGACACGAGAGAAAAGAAAAAAACCCAAGAAAAAATAGGAAAAGATGGAATTTCAGAAAATGAATGAAAACATAAAACATAAACGATATAAATTAGAAATCAAAATAATATCTAAAACGAAAGGAAATGTTAAAATATAGGTGATATATTTAAAATTGCACTCAACTGGGACGTTTTCAAAAGACCAAGATGAATTACATATGAAATACTATTTATAGACAGCGAATTACGTGATAAACAGTAGCTGCCATTTGCGCAACACTTAAGGAGGGGTTGGCATACTCTTTTGATTGTCACAATTAAAAAATGCAAATGTACCCCCTGAATACAGTATATAACGAAACTGAGAGAAACATGTAATCATACATATGTGTCTAATTCCGCAATAATTTTGTACTTTTGTGTTTTTTCTCTGGGTGTTGTCTTTATGTTTTATGTTTTATTTTTTGTTTGATAAATAATAGTTTATGCTGGTTCATAATGCACAATCAGTATGTCTGTTCTTTCGATGACTAGTACGACATGTACTCTGTCGTTCGGTTTTGGTTTGATTTTGTTTAAATTCCTATCAACAGATAACGTCATTTAAGGACGTACCTCCATGTGTGTAGTGTACATATGCATGCGTGCCTGATACAGTGTAGTTGGTGTTCTTGCCTCCTAAGCTTGTGATAGTGCGAATCTGACGCCGACTTTATAGTGCTATCTCACTGAAATACCAAGCTTTAGGCACCCAGAACAGCATATTATACTGATAACGGGTGAACCAGTTGTTGTCATTCCCCTAGATTTAATCTTGTTTTCATCAGACGAATGACCAATTAACATATGCATACTTAGATGTGAGATATATTCGACTTCACAATCGGTTCTCCACATTTTAACACCTAAGTGTACAAATGCTTCACTCGTTATTTTGTTATGACCCTGTCAAAGTATATACATATTTTTACCGTTTGTTTTACATAAACGTGTGGACAATACGTCACTGTTGGTTGTTTCTATTCAGTCAATGAATACATAGACTTGCGTATGCAATGATATTTCATAATGATCCTTTGATAGTGTATAAAAAGCAGCCTAAGTCATGTATGTGCATGCTAATGTCGCTTTGATTAAATAACATATTATATATTCCCTTTTTTTGAAGAGAATTATGAAATATCAGTTAACAACATTAATTCGTGAAATATTTATTTTATAGTTTGGACCACCCTGTCTCAACTTACGATCCCTAAACGATAAACTGTCACTTTATACATTTATCTTTCCGTAGTCTGTGTCCGTCATTCATATTTGCATGAAATTATATCATACTCATATTATCACTATGTTTGCCTGACGAAGGAAACAATATATTAATATATACGTCAACAGTTGACCTCTTGAATACACTTATATAAATATACATATATCTAAATTATGATATTTTTGTGCTTTATCATTCTCTATGTGCATTGTTAATTCACTAAATTTGATAAGTCTCATAAAGGATACTCAAGTTTGATGACTTTTATTTCATTTATGACTTATATTATCATTGGTATCGTTCAATATAATCCTATCTATCTAATGCATATGATTGTAAGTAAATAGAATAAATTATGCTGCTCAACGTAGTTCCTTTTATAACGTGTTTTTGACATTAATGTATGTTACCTAAGTGTCCTCTGTTTCAGTTGATGTCATTAACATAATTTTGTCCATACCAGAACGATCAGTGTGCAGATAATATTTAAGGACGTCGTTGGTCAGATCCAGATTCCTGTAAGTGTGGACATGGTTTATGCATTTTCCTATTGACAAAGGTAAGATTTATTTCAATGATTTATTAATGCTCTGAATTAACATTGGCTGGTTATCGACTTTTGTGAAAGATGAAACGTCATAGTGATTAGAAAATTTAATCACTTGCAACTCCCTATACTTAATCAAAAGAAAAGGCTAACCACTATGGAAAGTTTGTGAGCGACGATCCTACTCAATAGAAATCAGACAAGGCAGGGATAGCTTTGGCACCACGTGGCGTGATTGTCTGATGTAGGTGTTATAATACAAGTCTTGCTGTCAATGACGTACATAAAAAATAGCAGGTGCATTTGCTTTAAGTATGTGTTTTTGAAGCGTAGATTCACTTAATTAAACACATATGGTGAGGGTTTAACCATATTTTACTGAAGTAGACTTTGTTGTTTCAAGAATGCTCACTCTTGCAGAAGATAACAGTTAGTGGTCTATTTCTTTTAAATCAACGGGACATTAATTGTGTTATGATTTACTGTGAAATCATAGTAAAACTAGAAAATATACGAATTGCATGAGTGACAAAATACCCTTTTGTTCCTTGTATATTGAAAATTTTCTGATTTCCTCAAACCAATAAATTGAAGTATGCAGGTATAACATACTTGTATTCATAGTAAGATATTAGGTTTAAGTAGCGTTAAACTAATTTCTTGAAAAATAGTTTTATTTTCGAGCCTTTTTTCTTTTAATATGCAAAAAAATATATATGCAATTCAATATCATGTATTTTTTAAACTAAAGTTTCTGAGTGATATTAATCTGTAATTTAGATATACACATTTCTTTTTACCTAATTATAATCAATGAGGTAATTTGTGCCTAAAGATAGTTATAATTATTACTTATCCATTTATGCAGTTATTGTTCATATGCAAGTATTTACTTATAGTGAAAATGCAAACTGATTTTTGACAGTATGTTCATGATACTGTAGTTGTGAAGATCAATATGATTTGATTATAATCAGACAATTGAAACAATTCATTGCACTAATAAAATGAGAGTATAACTTAACACTTTAAGTATTGAACATAAAAAATATGTACATGAATTAAATTTCGTCCCATGATAAATGAAATTGCTATTGCTCAATTTATATGATATTGGAATAAATAACATAAAGTAGTGAAAAATACAATTGTCTGTGTAAGGACCGGTTTCCAAAACGGCCCCTTCTCAGATTCAAATTTCCTGTTGGTGGTGCATTGCCCATGCCGTTGTGGTCACAAATCTATAAAGTATAAAGATTTAGGTCACTTGGTTTGTTTTTTATGGCTCCTCAAAGTTGTACCTTTCAGAAGCTGTCTAAGTGTTGATAAAATGTGCATGTTATGTAAAATATTAATGAAAATCTAATCAAATGATGGTCACCGTAAAGAATACATTCATGGCATGATTGTGACAAAAAATCATGTTTCCATCGCGCCATTTGGCTGTTTTATGGAAGAAACAATCTCAAAAATGCCATTTTCGTTGATAACATTTTAGACACAAAAACTGTGTTTTTTTTAGAGAATACACCCTTTTATGGGCGTTGTATGCAAACCAATTTTTATCCTATTATACAGTACGTAATATGCTATTGATGAGAGGAAAAATCATCAAGATGTAAGTGGTGGAACATTTTCAAATGTTGGGTTGAATTAGCCTATGGTTGAATTGCCGATTTTCGACTTTCTTTAGATAATTAACAAAAAAACGAGAGTATTTGCTCGGTATGTTGAGAATATGTACACAGATATGAAAAAAAGTGAGAGAAACACTTTTTCATAAAAAAAATCCAAGATGGCTACTTCACAAGTCCCCGTGGTTGAAGACATTGGCTGACAAATAGACAGAACAACAAACAAAACGTGTTCCTTATGATTTTGGTTGGTTTTCGCATTTACGGGAGTGTTCATAGCTACGGGCGATTGTATAATACCTATATTTATAAGTTTGGTTAGTCACATGGTAACGGGGATCTTTCATATCGAGCCCCAAACATACTTTCGACATATGCACTCCGTTGCCGCATGGAAAACTATTTCAAGTTTTGTCGGAATTTCTTTACCTGTGGTTGTAATGGTCGAGGGTTTTCCAGCGTCCTGTAATACCCAAGGTAGTACAAGATACTGGAGATGTGCGCACACATTCCCATCGTTCTCTCTCCAACTGGGCACTGGCAGTAGTAGTCCTTTATTGGGGCCTCAACATCGGGTGAAACGGTGAACCGTATCCAAACGTTATATTTCGTTTGGCTTTTGTGTCGAGAATGTATTTGACATCGGAGAAGGTCTGGGGAGTGCTGGTAAAGCCACACCTCATAGTCTCCGTCATCACTTAAATGTTCGGCGATGTAACCAGGAGCCAGAGATATCTGATACGTTCCACACGTAATGGTTCTCAAGTAATCAAGATCGAGACGGGGAAACAGTACGGAAGATGCATCCATCTTGACAAACTCGGACCTTGCCCGTCTAGATAGATCCGGATCTGTCTTGACTCTCTGAGCTAAACCATTCGGTGTTGTCAAACGGTCCTTCATACGTTCAGCCATTAGCCTATCTTTGGCATCTCTCTCTGGAGATCTCTGGTAGATCGGTCCTCTAATACCATTCAGACAGGCTGTGACGGTTCGAAGCAAAGCCTCGATGACATTGATAAAGCTGTTAGACACCAATTGCGTTCGGAAGAACGTCCAGTGTTTCAGACGACCATGATAGGATTCCACAATCCACCTCGATTTGGTGATAGTTCTGTCAAGATTTGCTTGGACGTCAGAATGTTGACTTTGACCGGGTTTCAGGTATGACGGCATGCTAGCATTGAGGCCAGAGGCTTCGAGAACTGGTAGGACATCTCTAAAACCTCGGTCAACGACAACGTTGTCGTCTGGTTGTAGCCAAGTAACTAGCTTGTCCATGACTTTTTTTGTAATTGTAGCATCATTTTCGCTGCCAGTGAATGGTCCTACTGTGTCCAGAATGTAGCCATCTGGTAAGGCGATGCTCATGAATTTGAGATAGTTTCTCTTCTTCTGGCCACAGTAGGACATTCTCTGGAGCTTGTGGTCGGAGCTTTTCTGGATATAAATATAGGTGCCATCTAATATGGCAGTGGCTTTATCTCCAAAAAATGCTTCTGAAAAGACAGTATTGTGCCCGAGCAACTGTTCTCTTGTCAAGTGATCCGGACCTAGAAATTGTGGGACTATCGATGTGTCTAATGCCTGTACTATGGAGTGGAAAGTTTTGGACACACTTGACTTGGAAATTCCAAAAAGAGAAGAACACTGACTCCAGGAAATGTCGGTTTTCAGTTTTACCCAGAACAGTAATAGAGCATCGTGTGTAGTCTTGGTATATATACCAGATGAAAGATATGGGGAACAGTGCGAGTGGATTTCGAGGAACTGATCTTTGGACCAACCTGTCCAGGCCATGCATGCCGAGTCATCAAGAGAAGAAAAGCTTATTGTAAACGCAGACTGGTTCTGTGAAAGGACGTGCGACACCTCTAGGAGGTCATTAATGATTTCGGACGATTTTGATGGTAACTGAGATTCCAAGGAACCTCTACCATCAAGGACAACCTCTGTAGACGGATCTAAGTCGTTACCAATAAGGTGAATGGAGCAGACGCGGGATGAGGTGGGACACCACAGTTTGTGTGAATAGATCAGGTGATGTCTTGCACGTTTTGGTAAGACTGATGATTTTGTTCCATTTCTTGCAAAGGTAACAAGACAGAGACAGCATTTTTTGTGTGAAGATGATCCATTCAAAAGATCATGAAGGGTCAGCAACGGCAGGATATGGGACGGGGAGTCGTCTTCTTCCTCTATTTCCTGGTTCTGCTCGGGTTCAGGTTCAGGCTGATTTTTGTTCCGAAGATACTTCATGTAGCACTTCTGGCAAATAAGTGCTTGTTCCTTTGCTGACATCAATCCTTGTTGCACCAGCGTATCTAGGAGCCATTTATATTGTGGACTATTTACATTGCGTGCACTTCTGTTCTTATTGCCACTACGTTTCTTGAAGTATACTTGACACCCTTCTCCAACACATTTACCCTCCATCTTGAAACAATAACGATTGGTTTATGAAGCGTCGATAAAGTAACAAAATAGCAAGCCACCGATGATTGCTGTAAACAGCTAATACTTAGTAGTTTGGTACAATTATGCGAAAATGTGTGATAAATAACGAACAACTAATTACACAAAATAACAAGACAATATAATAAATCACATTCAATACCTCCAAGAAGCGCAGAATTGATTGATTACTTAGAACAAAATAAAGTATTTCATATGGATAATCTATCTATTCGATGTGGCGTGGTCGGCAGGCACAAAGAAAGTGAGACAAGTCAGGGTCCCAACCCTGACAGAGCCACAACGCTTTGGAGATGGGACAATAAAACAAGGAAAGTGAGACAAGAATAGCTAGCGTCGAGTCAATGATTCCGTAAACGTATAGACAAAGACAAGAAGATACGGATAAATGTACAAGGCCACACGATCAGAAAATTCAGAAGAGGACAACTTGAGATAGAACAGTATTCATGTATCAGGGTGTCCTCAGTGTAAATCTTTATATCGATACTGTTTATTTAGTCGTTACACATCATAAAACTGTCATGAAAATATCCGCTCTGATATTCAATATAAAAGTTTGTATATAATAAGCTATATAATAGGGTTTCAGACAAGGTTGTTACTCATTTCCCCTTTTCTTTCAATTTACAACCACATTCAGGCGGCGATATGAGAACGTTCCACCACATGGAATTAGCTGATTTTTGGTACACATATGAAACAAGTAAAGCTCTATCCGATTTTCTGATGGAAATTTGCATCCAAAACTATATAACGGGAGAAAATTGCAATTTTATGGCATTTTTCTTCATAATTGTGTCTCTGCAAGTGCATTTTCATCCGAGAATTTTTTTTTTTATGTTTTATGAATAAACACGATGTTTTGGAAATATTTATCAAAAGAAATTTATACTATGTTGCGAATTACAATTTCGAGATAACCTTCTTTTATTTACGAACTTATGTCTTTGATGCTGAAATTGACAACTTTATAAAAATACATTTTCACTGAAATTATGAAATCTGGGTGTCGGAAAGGTGTAAAATTATTCTTCGGAAAAGAAAAAAACAGTAGTTGAGCTAGATAAGAAATTATACGGGCGCAGGCTCCTATGGAGATTTAACATTACTGGAAAGAGGCCCTTTGTCGGAAACAACCAATTTACGATTCGTCTTAATGTAAAAATGTGAAACACTTTCATATTGCGTAATCACAGCAAACGTGATGTGAATTTAAAACAAAAAATCATTTTTTTTTTAATATTCAAAGTATGAAACCTTATTTATTGATACATTGGCAATTCATTTACACTAGAAATAAGAAAGTGAAAAGTAGGTAATCACCTATTAAGATGTTAGTTATTCCCCGTAAAAAACACTCAATATGAATGAAACTGTATATAGATAAACTATGTGATCTCAACATCAACTCAACTTTGTCCTGACGAGAAACATTAAAACATTACATTCTTTAACATTATACAAAAGAGTAAGTTTATAAAAAACCCTGAAACGATGTAATAATTAGTTCGCAGTATGCATTATTGGTTTAATAATCTCAAGTTTATGAACCATTTCATAACATGAGAACACATATATGATACCTGTACAGGGATTTAGACAATTCATGATCGTAGCAATAAAACATAAAAATACAAAATTTTCTGAACCAGCATTGAATGGTCAGGTCAAAGAAATTTTTCGGAGATGTTTTGACGTCAAAATGTTTCATAAAAGTCACATCTTAAGTATATGCTATTAACTGATGGTAAACATTTTTCTGAATCAAATGTTGCTATTTGGAAGCTGTCTACGCGTCATTTGGAGTGTATTGAGTAAAGAAAACACTAAAATAGTTATTAAAACAAACTTTGGTATTTGCCAAAGCATGATGGTAAGGACTCAATGTGTTAAAATAAATGCTCACAATTTTATGACAATAGATATGTAAAACGCTCTTATTTTTCTTTAAAAAATAATAAAAAAAATTGAATTGAAATATCAGAACATGCTCTATATATAGACTTGCATGTAATCTTCATATCCGGTAAATTTTATATCGGAGAGGCTCCACAATCAGAACGGAATCGGAGGGGTCGTCATTAGGGAAACTTTTAAACTATGGAGGCATATATATATATATGTTGCAAGATATCATCGTTGACATGTATGCTTTTTCTGATATGATAGCCAATATTATGGCAGGTGCCACATCTGGTGCAAAGAGGAAATTATTCTGGCATGGGTTTATTTTGTTTTTCCTAATGTTTTGATGTCTATTCAGTCCCTGTTAGTGTTGTTTTGCATCGCGTTGAACTTATGTTTTTTTTCCTTTCGTGTTGGCGCTGCGGTACATTGTGTGTATATTAGTTTTTCTAATCAATTAAATCAATAATGAATTTCATAGATCAAGCAAAGGTGACGTTGTTACGTTTTGTGAGCAAATATTTTTACACATATTTAAAATCTGAATATTTCAAATAATCCTAGTATATCTTTCGTCTGTATTTAGAAAAAAAGAATCTCTTAGTTTTAAAGCTCACTACTTTTTACACTAAACGACATGTGCATTCTGTGTTAAACTATCGTTAAACCTACCATGATCCGAGCCAGTTAGCCCTGTTATCAATGAACAGATTGTATTGTGAGTGATTCAGAAGCCGAATGACAAACGGAAAAAAAATACCAAGTACGATATTTGGTAAATTAAACGAAGTTTATTGACATTGGTTTTTAGCTTATTTATTTTTGAAGACCGCGGATCATTGTACATCGCCGTAATAAGGTGTTTCGATTATTGGGAATGTCATTTTATGCACTGTCAAACGTAGTAATGTAATTTACAGTAAAGTTATCAGAAGTTATCATATATAAGGGTTTCCGGCTCGTGTCAACCAATCATTTCACATACACTGTATAACATCACACAGGTTTTTCATATTTCTGACGTTAAAATGTTATTTCAGCACTTGTGGTGTTCGGTAACGTTGTTTGTATGGCATGCATAGCTAAATGAATATTCAAAAAAGAAATTGTTTCATTAAAGTATGACACGAGCATTTATTTAATCATATGTTATGTGCTGTCAAATTAATGTCATTTAGTAAGGGCATATTTTAGGAACATGTCCACAGCTCTCTGTTGCTCATCTGTGACGCAAAGCATTTCAGTTTGTTTGAATTTTCCCCTTTTTTGAGTTGCTTGTCCATTTACTATAGCAAGGACTTATTTTCGAAAGAAATATGTTTTTTTTAAATTTCCTATTTAACACACAACTCACCGTTGCAAGGAACATTCGATCCCCAGAACTTTCAAATGTTAAGGAGGGGCTTTAAGCGTCTCTACTATTCTACCGGTCATCCATAGTAGCATTTTTTGTTATTGTACTTTTCTGCAACATTAAGTATAATGTTAAAAAGTCTTTTTTTAAAAAATCCGAAGCTGTCCTTTTTTAAAGAGCAAAGGAAAATATCATAAATTTGACAAAAAAATTACCTTTCATCGCCCCTGTTATGTTGAAAAATGGCTGGACTCTCTACTTTAGAACATACAGTGCGACAGTGTATACGTTGAGTCCTTTACCAGATATGACTGGTAGAGCGACAGGCATAATAATATATAAATGAATTTAACATTAAAACCTCGTTAGACATTGACATCAACTGTCTAGCATTGCATGCCTTATTTAAAACAGATATCCATGTACATTTTGTAAATTATATTAATAAACATATGTAATATTATACTGTTCACGAAATCAGTTCATTATCTTTTAAACACCAATGAAAATCGAGTGCATTTATGTATCGTTTCCCTTGTTCAAAACCTACGTTTGTAAAAACCAGGAACTTGAATATATCCTATGTTGTATTAAATACGAACTGTGAATCTTTAAAATAAAACCGTCAATTATTACAAATTAAATGATAATATGTCTGGTTAAATTTCCGTAAATGTTCGTACAATGTCAAATTAACTAGAGAACAAGTCTATATTACTAACTCTAAATGCAATTGTACATGCTCATGTATTATATAATCTTGTCTTCTGACAGATTCCAAATACCGTAGATGCTTATTATTCGTGTACACTGAATTTCGCGAACTAATTGATCTGGACTTATTCATGAGTATGTTGATTACCGTTTCATTTCATGAGATTATTTCAAGTTATGCACATATTTTGTGTCGTGAAATATTAGTGCGTAAAGCGGTCAATAACTTGAAAATAATCAAGAACATATCACGCGAAATATATGTTATCCACAGCAGATATTTGTACATGGACGGTTAATTTAATGATATAATATTTGTAACATCTTTTAAAAGATCATTTTCACTTAATGTTAACAAAGTATGATCAATAAAGGTATTCAAATATATTTAGATACATTTTTATTAAAAGAAACAAGGTTATAAAGATACGTCAGGGATTTATATCAATGCACTATTGGTTTCGTTTTATGATTTTGAAATAAATAAATAAGTAAGCATTTTATTTGTCCATGTATTTGCATTGTGATTGAATCAATTATTGATAGTAATGTAACAAATCTATTGTAAAAGAAAAAGATTCACAAGAAACAAAGCTTAAAATATAAATTTCTTTTTTCAAAATTTTCTATATATTAACAGAAACACGATATAAAAATGCAAAAAGCATATATATATATGTTTTTCTAATCCTTACTTTTTTTTTTATTTCTGTAGCCCAGTGGATTATGTCCTAGTTTGTGTGTTATTTTATGTACTAATGGGATATATTTCATAAAATGCTTATATACAAATAAGTTATACATGAAAATCATTTCAGTCTGACAACTGTCTTGCCGCTTGATAATGTTATCAACTGCCTGTTTTGAAATATAACATGACACTACTTTCGTCTGTTTGCATATTAATATAATTTATTACTTGTTGCTGGTTGGTACAATATTTTCAGACAATGTCCCGTAAAAAATCACAGGGAGTCGGAGACAGGATTGTGATATCACAGCATACGATTAGTTTTATTATATCTTTGAAAAGTAGTCCCATTAATTATCGACATAATTTTAATTACCTTTTCTTAAGCCTCTACATTCCATAGTCTTTGTACACAAAGACCAATATCCGTGTGAATAAAATAGTACTAATGAAAACGAACAACAAATTCAATTTTTAATTTCATATGTACTGATGGGTTATCGGCAGGGTATGTTTGTATATATGGCTTCTTGTGATAGCGCGAATCTGACGCCGACTTTATAGTGGTATCTCACTGAAATACCATGCCTTAGGCACCCAGCACAGTATTCTACCCGGTCACATTATACTGAAAACGGGTAAACCGACGATAAGTAGAAGAAAACAACTACCTTTTTTAATGACTTTAGTATGTCCCGGTCTGGGAACAGAACTAATTGCCGTTCTTACCTGAGCGAACGTTCATCGTTTACGACAAAAGTGAGGTATTGCCAAGCAAGGCGCTAGGCAATAAAACGTAGTAGAGAGAAATACAAAACCCCCAAATATTACAATGGGTGTAGCAGATTTATTTTGGTTGCTTTTGTCTCTCTAAGAAGAGTGCACGAATGCGAATTCTGCAGGCGGTCACGCATTAGTCGCCTCTTACGAAGCAGCAGGTGTGTTTGTTTCTTATAAAGATAAAAAAAATCACAGGCCAACTGCCCAACAACTGCTTTCAATCAGCCATGCCAATGAATATAGCGCAACGGGACGGACATGGATAATACTATATGCTCCCTCCCCTCCTTTTGTAATGGAAAAAGTTAATCGATGTATTGTTCTGCTGAAATCTGAAATTAATGCTATGACAGTCAATTGAATCAGGATTCATTTTCTTTACAGAGAACCATGAACGAGGTCATTTTATTAATACTACTTGTAGCAGTATGTATGGTGAAGTCTCAAACAGAAACACCAGCAGAAAATAAACCGATATCTACACAGCCCCCGGGAGGAGTCAGGCCCTGGGGATTTTCCCGAAGAGCACAGCCCATGAGACAATATGATAGTAATAGTAATGTCATAAGTTTTATAAATATATACTTATTTTCCAAGATAGATATTTTCTATTGTAATGTATTTAGAAAATGACCAATAGACTATAAGGTTAAATGTTGTAGGACTATACAAAATAAGCTGAAAAAATTATCTGATTTGAGACATGGTTTGACAGATAAATAGAATTGTAAAGCTGTATCTGTGCTGTAGCATTCAAACTACAAACAGAACACACTACACATCTAGTACATACGCAGGCATACACACATATGGAGATATTAGCCAGGTGGCATAGGACTAGTAGATAGTGCCTGATAAGGAAGCTCCTGCACATTCCTCAAAAAATGTATTGATTAATGTATATGCTAATTGTATTGATTATCTATGTACTGTTAACGCTTTAGAGTGGCTTATTCCAGCTAATTAGGGTGATATAGTAATATTATGTTGTGTTCATGTTAGATGTGTTTACAAAATAGTTTAACACTACAAAAACTGTAAAGTATATGTTGTTCAAGGTTATTTCAAAGGGTACAGCACACATATTTGTGGATAGATAACACGGCGTTGAGATAGCGCATATTCAACTTATCAACGTTAGGTCAAACACAGATGAGATTTACGATAAGTCGGGATGGCTATGTAATACCACACATGTCTCCGACCTCGTTCGACTTTGGCAATCTTGCCATCGGCACGTCATACATATACCACTTAGGAACGTAAGAGTAAATGCACAAGCTTGTTAAGGTCTTGCACGGATCTTTTCAGTCACCAGATGATAACGGCAACGACATACGTCTGTAAAGGTGTATGTGTGATTTTACATTTGTTATTAATATATATTGTTCTTTAGGTATACAAAACATTTAACGTTTGTTTCCTGTTTCAATATTCCTAAAGTGTCAAAAAGAAACTAAGAAAAACCCTTCACTATCATATAAAAAGCAACTACAAATGCAAAACAAGAGTAGTGTAAATGCTGTATGTAATTAAAGAGACCAATTCTCGAAATGCCTTTGTGATAAAAACGTATATAGCGTTTCCACTACTTTTGTACGATAGTCAGAAATATACACTCCATAGTGTTGTATCTACCGTTTTCACCCTACATAAGCCAATTCGTGGTGATCATCATGTCATCTAAGTGTCGCTTTCAATGATTCCACAGGTTATTACTACGACTATTATGGTATGAATAGAGGGTGCACTTGTACGCCGTTCCCATGCCGTCGCAGATTTGGATTGAGAGGGCGCTGTAGAACCTCTAGATTTCAACGGCCAGGTTTCCGTTGCTGCTATTTTGGATTCCGAAATGGATATGGAGATTATGATTTTGATCTATATGACTAAATTCGTGATATGCATACAAACGCCAGCCTGTTGTGGAAGATGAACTACATAATTTGTAAAACAAACCTCACATTACGGAAAAAATATTACATAGCACGTATGAAAAATATTGAATAATGTCATTATGTGGGATAGTTATATACTAAGAGATAATGTATTGGACAATCAGTCGGGGATTCAAATTTATTGCAAATTAGTTTTTTAAATGAGTTTCATTGTTACATAGTAGACTGTTGCACTCTCGCGAAAATTATCCTTTCTTGAAACGAAACTCGCAAAAAACAAAAATTAAGCGACTAACATTATACTCACTTGCCTGTAAATCGAATAAATAGTTTAATCTATAAATTTACTATGCAAACCACAGTGCAAATTGTTTATAATAAGTGTTGTCTGTTATTTGTATGCTGACATGTTAAAAACAAATGTATACAACAGAAAATAAAAAATATCAAACTATTTACCTTGCTTGATTTATTCTGACAATAACGGTCTTTATAAATATTACATATAATTGTTTTTTTAAAGATATGTAACAACCGTTTTCTATAAACCTTCCCCTCGTCAATTATTCTCTTATCACCGGTAAAGTAGTTGTTCGGCTAGCGTATATTTTGCTCGTTACATGTAATTCATATAGAGGGTATATTTTGTCCTAAAATTCGCTGTCGTGATAAATTCGCCTTAGTTGCGGTGACCGAAATAGGCGAAAAAGTCCAGGCACACAGGAATTGTACCGATCAATGGTAATACTCGCTTATGCATTACAAATGCATATTTGAATGCTGATACTTATATTCAAGTTCATGTTTCACTGTAAAATGAAATGCTGACAATACACATGGATGGATTACAGGCTATAGCTTCTTACTAGGACAGTGATAGCACAAGACTTACAAAAGTATAATACATGAACAAGTTGATGATTACTGTTATAGAAATAGAAAAGGTCCATGCCCCCCCCCCCCCCCCCCCCCCCCCCGCTATAAATATAAGTACTTACATACTGTATGTTTGGGTATTACAACTTGAGTGCCATATTATGAAATCTTTGATTAGCCAACACGATATTTGGAGTTATATTTCTCGGCTAATTACTTTGATAGTCCACAGAAAAAGTATACGTCCGAAAATAAAGGCACATATCTGAGATTAAGTTTTACACCTGCTCTCAATTTCCACTTTAGATTAACACAAATATCTGTGTATTTGTAAGTTAAAAAAGAAAATATAACAGGTAAGAAACTTTCTCGTTCGTTTGTTTGTTGTATTGTATTATTATTTATTATAATTTTGGAATTTTGTGACACAGCTGAGAGCAAAACATTAATACGAAAATGTTCAAGGAGCCAATTCCTGAAGACGCTTGTAGATAAAAATAGAGATAGAATTTCACCGATAAAGGTTTTATTGGAGTATTACGATATCAAATTTACTATTCATGATACAAGTGTCATCAAATAGCGTATGATGAATAAAATATGCATGGGAATATTATATTACGAGGAGATATATACATACCACCCTATTTTTTTTCAATTTGATTTTTATATGAAGGATATATTTCTCATTTAAAAAACGCCGCTATCACAATTGTACCACAAAATCAAAATGTGCTACAGCAATATGCATGTTCAACATGAATCATATAGATATATATGACCATGTATCAGGTATGTACGCAAAGCAATATTGCAGGCGTTTGCTTTCTGTATTATACAGACAAGACAGTTATATCAATAACTCCGTAGCAGAATCAGATATGTAAGATATAATTATAAACTTTATTTGTTTTACAACAATTATGAAACAAGGAGATATTTAAGATATATAAGATTTTTCGCTATAATACATATACATAAACCATCCTCTGGCTTGCGGTTTTTACATTCTTGGAATACTGATTGTGAACCAATGTTGCGTTATTATTCTATTTCCACTTTAAGGTTGTCAAATAATTGATATTAGACTTAGATTTACCTGAAGCAGAAGACGTGAACCTTTATAACCTTTGTTATGTTTCAAAGATTTGAAGTTGTAAGTATTCATGTTAATAACATTGACTTTTCTTCAAGAGTATAGTTCTGTTTTAACAGGCGGTCCCAAAGGTAAAATTGGGAGCGTCATCAAAATATGAAAATGTAAAGAACAAAATACATGGCGTTATCAATAGAGAGCCTAAGCAAATAGTACTATGAACAGTACACGACAGTGAGTAGTGTGTGATAATGTAACGTCCTATATTTAGGCCTGATATTATCAGCTTCATAACACACGTGTGATACGCTATAAACTTCCAGATGTTCACCATTTAACTACTATTGTATACAATGTAAATAAATCAATATATATATATAAATACATTTTCGCTTTCATATGCTTGTATTATGTGTTTAAATTTATTCTAAGCTGTAATATACGTCCTTTTGTCTATAGATGTAACAACAATGCAAGAGGACAATTTATCATACCATCTCCTGGTTGAAACATGTGTATACATATTTAATCACATACAATCTCGTTTACCGAGCGGCCTTTAGCTATAGTTTCATAACCAATAACTCGACAAGATGGCCGGTACAGCGACACCCAACCGAACACCCGAAATCAAGTACACACAGGTAAATATTGATGTTTATAAGATATTTAAGCTTTTCTGCAAAATAAATATAACTCATTCGAGCTTCTAATAGTCTATGACTTACTAGCATTATCGTCTGGCTGTGATGGGGAGTAAGATATTTTCTCTTGTGTGATGTAATCATATATGATACCTAACCCATTTCAGCGGCATTCAATCTCAAACCATATTACATTGCAACGTACAACAAAACTATTTATATTTAAATGCAAATATTAAACTGAAAAAACCCTGAAAGTTTGAGGTTTAACATTCGTTTTAATTATCAGATGAACAATTTATTAATATTAATGATAATAATATACAACATTTATATAGCGCCCTATATAATTGGTAAAATTACTTTAAGGCGCTTTACAATATATGGATAATAGTAATATTTAAAATTGTGAAAACAAACAACAAAGGCTTGCAATCATATATTTAACAAGCAAAGTGCACATAATTGAACAAATAAAAGGGTGGTATTTACATGACGTCTTTGCAAAGATTTTAAAATGCAGACGTGAAGAGGTGAGTTTTTATGTCCCTCTTGAACTTGGCCAGGGTATTTGACTTCCTAATAGCAGATGGTAAGCTATTCCACAACGTAGCTGTTACAATATAATATTTATGTCAATAGTAACGCAAATAACCAGAGCTGCATAACACTAAGTGGATTTAAAATATCCTAGCGTTTGTGTAAATATTTTTTCTAATCATATTTCAATGGAGCTGTGGGAACAGCTCTTATTTAAAAGGATACCAAAGATGCCTTATTGGGTTTTACCTTCATTTTCCTCTCTTTAACGATGAGGGTCACAGAATGTAATAATTTTATATGTTGTTCTCCCAGATTTTTATAAACAATGAGTTTGTTAACTCCGTAAGCGGAAAGACGTTTCCAACATTGGACCCCTGTACTGAAGAGAAGATTGCAGACATACAGGAAGGAGATAAGGTAACAATTACCCTTTTTATCCTAATCTTCTTTTCAATAATTATGAAAATACCTTAATAAATAAGTTTTTTCAAATTATATGAACCGCTCTATTGCTGGTCAGCATAGGTTCACACCGGGACTTTTTGTGGGTGGAATCAAGAGTAACCTCATTTGATTTGATTATACTGGGTTTAGTGTCCTTCTTTCATTTGAAGTGAGTTACGTCGGTTTTCATTCACATTGGGTTTAGCGTCCTATTAACAACTAATTCATTCACTGTGGCCTTAGTGTCCTATACACGGCTAAAGAAATTCACATTTGGTTTAGCGTCCTATACACAGCTAAAGTCACTCACATCGGTTTTATCTTCCTATAAACAACTTAAGTCACTCAAAAAGGTTTAAGCGTCCAATAAACAACTTAAGGCACTTACATTGGTGTTAGCGTCCAATAAACAACTTAAGTCACTCTCATTGGGTTTAGTGTCCTATAGACAACTTAGGTCACTCACATTATGTTTATGGTTTTATAAACAACTTAAGTCACTCACATTGAGTTTAGTGTCCTAAACACAGATTTAGTCACTCAAAAAAGTTTAAGCGTCCAATAAACAACTTAAGTCACTTACATTGGGTTAAGTGTCCTATACACAACTTAAGTCACTCACATCGGATTTAGCGTCCTATAAACAACTTAAGTCACTCACATTGGGTTTAGTGTCTTATAAACAACTTAAGTCACTCTTATTGGGTAAAATGTCCTATACGCAACTGAAGTCACCCACATTGGGTTTAGCATCATATTAATAACTCACATTGGGTTTAGCGTTCTATATACAACTTAAGTCACTCACATTGGGTTAAGTGTCCTATACACAACTTAAGTCACTTACATCGGTTTTAGCGTCCTATAAACAACTAAAGTCACTAACATTGGGTTTAGTGTCCTATAAACAACTTAAGTCACTCTTATTGGGTTAAATGTCCTATACACAACTTAGGTCACTCACATTGGGTTTAGTGTCCTATAAACAACTTAAGTCACTCTCATTGTGTTTAGTGTCCTATAAACATCTTAAGTCACTTACATCGGGTGTAGTGTCCTATAAATAACATAAGTCAATTTCATTGAGTTTAGTGTCCTAAAAACAACTTCAGTCACACACATCGGTTTTAGTGTCCTATAAACAACTTAAGTCAATCTCATTGAGTTTAGTGTCCTATAAACAACTTAAGTCACCCACATCGGTTTTAGTGTCCTATAAACAACTTTAGTCACTCACATTGGTTTTAGCGTCCTATAGACAACCTGAGTCACTCATATTAGGTTTTTGGTCATATAAACAATTAAGTCACTTATTTTTGGTTTAGTGTCCTATAGACAACTTAATTCACTTATATAGGGTTTAGTGTCCTATAAACGTTAGTCACTCACTTTGGCTTAATAGTCTTATAAACAACTTAAGTCACTTACATTGGGTGGAGCGTCCTATAGACAACTTAAGTCACTCTCATTATGTTTATGGTTTTATAAAAAAACTTAAGTTATTGATATTGGGTTTAGCATCATATTAACAACACAAAGTTAGTCACATTGGGTTTAGCATCATTTTAACAACTTAAGTCACTCACATCGTTTTTAGCGTCCTATTAACAACTTAAGTCACTCACATCGGTTTTAGCGTCCTATTAACTACCTAAGTCACTCGAATTGGGTTTAGTGTCATATAAACAACTTAAGTCACTATAATTGGGTTTAGCGTCCTATAAACAACTTAAGTCACCCTCATCGGTTTTAGTCTCCTATAAACAACTTAAGTCACTGACATTGGGTTTAGTGTCCTATAAACGTAAGTCACTCACATTGGGTTTAGCGTCCTATAGACAACAGGAGTCACTCATATTATGTTTATGGTCATATAAATAACTTACTTACATTGGGTTTAGTGTCCTATATACAACTTAAGTCACCCACATTGGGTTAAGTGTCCTATAGACAACAACTCACATTGGGTTTAGTGTCCTATAGACAACTTAATTCACTAACTTTGGGTTTAGTGTCCTATAAACAACTTAAGTCACTCACATTGGGTTTAGTGTCATATAAACAACTTAAGTCACTCACTTTGGGTTTAGTGTCCTATAAGCAACTTAAGTCACTCACATTGGGTTTAGTGTCCTATTACCAGCAAGGTCGTCTACGGACGTGTCGTCACATGTGTAAAGTATGAGTGTATCTGTGCATGTTTTTTGGAGGCGGTATGGTTGTTGCATATGTGATTGTAACTTAGAATATCAAAAGTGTCGTATAGTGGTACCTTAATTTAAATACATTGTGCCACGTCAAAGGCAAGTATCTGATAAAACAGTTGTTACAACTTCCATTTTAAAGACTTTGGTATGTCTCCGCCTGGCTACCGAACTATGTTTCATGAAATTATACAGCTGTAAGGTCCAGTGTCATTTGCTTTCTTGCATCCAATATCACACATTGTTAAAAGTGCCATCAACTTCGCGTGCCTTACATCAGTTATTCACGGTCACGGTAAAATGTGGTTTATGTTCTACTTATTTGATTCTTACAGTTAGTTGATTCTTACAGTTAGTTGATTCTTACAGTTAGTTGATTCTTACAGTTAGTTGATTCTTACAGTTAGTTGATTCGTTCTGAAAAGATTTCAGTTTAATTGATTCTTAGGCGGATATTGAGAAGGCAGTTGAAGCAGCAAAAGAGGCGTTCAAAATTGGGTCACCATGGAGACGACTTGACGCTAGCAAACGTGGAGCATTGTTGGACAAACTAACCGGACTGATTTTGCGAGATGCGGATTATCTTGCGGTAGGTTTGTCATACGCTGACCTAGATTTTGTATATTTGCGATTCATAGGACTTTGCGGTTGTTTTTGATATTTTGTTCAAGGCTGAATTGATAAAATAATGTTTAAACAACACAACTCGTAAGTGAATATACAAACTAATAAATAAATTAATAAAATAATCATAGCCGTTGTATAGGCTCCTTCCCAGTAGCCTTCTCTATTTTGTAATGTACATCAATGATCATACCGGGATAAGCACAAAACGATCTCAAGGACTGTTGGTTTGGTTAGTTTGGTTTAGTTTAGTATTGTTTTACGTCCTATCAACAGCTATGGTCATTTACTAACGGCCTCCTCTGTGTGCAAGATGCATGCATGTAGTGTATGTGTGAGTGTTTTGGGAGGCTGCAATATGTTCGTGTTTGTCTCCTTGTGATAGCGCGGAACTGATGCCGATTTTATAGTGCTTCCTCACTGAAACATACTGCCGAAGACACCCAGCAGTACAGCCCACCCGGTCACATTATACTGACAACGGGCGAACCAGTCGTCCAAGTCCTTAATTGCTGAGCGTTAAGCAGGGGTAGAATTACCATTTTTACAGACTCTGGTATATCTCGGCCAGTAGACAGAGCCCAAAGCATTCCTCAAAGGGGCGAACGCTCAACTAAAGGCCAAAAGTGAGTAATTGTCAAGAGTGACATTAGTAAGAAAACATTTTTTTAGAAAGAAAAGAAAAGATAAGATCCTTTTAGTCGCCTCTTACGATCATGCCACGGGGGCAACAGGTACAATTATTACGCCCTACCTGCATGGACCTGAAGTACTGTTAATATACCAAGTAAGTAAAATGAAAGTGAAAGCACCGTATGGAACATGTTTTATGTTTGGTTACAGAGCCTGGAGACCATCGACGGTGGGAAGCCATACAAGGACTCATACGCTTGCGTTGTTGGTTCTGCTAATAGCATCAAGTATTTTGCTGGTTGGGCGGATAAGGTCCAAGGCAGAACTATTCCTATTGGTGAGAGTTGGTTCTAGAATGCAAATGTGATGTGAATAATAAGGGCGAGATATATGATGAAAGTCACAATTTTCAAGATAAACACCTTATAACGTAAATATCCTTAACTTCAAACAATAAAAGATAGATAAAATCTTCATTTTAAGTTTCATTATGACAAAGTCTAAAAACTTTCTTTTTGTTTTCAGATGGAGATTACTTCTGTTACACCAAACACGAGCCTGTTGGAATATGCGGTCAAATAATACCGGTCAGCTTTTAAACTATTTGTCACTGAATCGATTCAATAATGCACCGTCCTCATTTTATAGCTTTACACAGGTTTGAAATAGTTTTTAGAGGATGACAGAATTAGTTTTTGTTGATCTTCTCTATTTCACTCTTTTACATGTATACATTTGTTTGTTCGTTCAGTGGAACTTTCCCATAATCATGGCTGCTTGGAAGTTGGCCCCAGCTCTAGCCACTGGCAATGTTGTGGTGCTCAAACCTGCGGAACAAACACCTCTGACAGCTCTGTACCTTGCTGCGTTAGTCAAGGAGGTACGTTACATATAGCTAAAATGTAGGTACAATGTTCTACGGTATATTGATAAAAATAGTTGGTTAAAACGTGCGGTTCTACACCGTAATAATATAGTTACACAATAAATGCGTGGTTAGACCGAGTGCAATGTAGCAGGCAGTACTATGAATGCTGCTTATCTGTGTTATACAATTATCTTAACACTTACAATGTTTGTTATTGTCTATGTGTATTACATCGTAGGCAGGATTCCCCCCCGGGGTGGTGAATGTGGTCCCGGGTTACGGGGAAACTGCGGGAGCTGCCCTATCCAGTAGCATGGACGTCGACAAGGTCTCTTTCACAGGCTCCACCGAGGTATGTTCCAGATAGCCGTTGAGGTTGCGGTAGTTTTGTATATGTGATTGGAAATGGTAGTTGGGGGAAGGTGCAGGTTGCCGATTGAATAATTAAAGTACATACCAGATGGATTAGTATGCAAATTCCGGAGTCTACATCTACTTTTTATAAATATGATAATTGCATGTTCTCTAATGGATGATTGTCCCAACTCAACATTAAACTTATCTAGAATATATGAGTGACAACAAGAAGATAAACGTTCCTGGCATATAGACCTAATTCACATACGTGTCGTTTTCATCGCATATATGTTTTCCTGTTGAAGATATTATCAATCTAAACATTAGTTTGTTTCGATTCACAGGTAGGACAGCTGATAATGAAGGCCGCGGCCGAATCTAACTTGAAGCGTCCAACACTCGAACTAGGAGGGAAAAGTCCAAACGTAGTCTTTGCTGATGCTGACAGTGAGTTTTTGGTCCCAGTGTCGTTAAATATGCTGCGTCCAAGTGACAGATACGGCACGTTGTACAGGAAATGCTTACAATTCCAGTAAATGTGGTTTCTGGGTTGATTGTATTTTTTTTATCCCTTCACAATGAATTTTTGTTAATTCCTATTGTGGTCTAATTGTATCTGATAATCTTATCACCTTACATTTTGCAATATAGAACTATGACAATTGTACACAATTAAAAAATAATTATGATCAATATACAAAAGATAATCCGCAAACCCCAATGTCACGGATGATACCATAGTTAATTCCTCATGCCTTTTATTCAAGAACACGTTTAACAGGACAACAGTACCATTTTGATTCCAATATTTTATTATTGTTGTATATCATACAATATCATGTATCATAATTCTAAAAGACGAAAATCATGGAAGCGCATTAACGCAGATGGATAAAATAGCATTATGGAAACCATACTAAAATGTTTTAGTCAGTTGCTCTTCGCACAACAGAGCTATATATATTCTCTCAATCGATTATTTTGATATATTTCTATCGTAAGCGTCCTCATAAAGTAAATTGTATCTATCAAATATATTAGATTACTTAGATCCTACCACAGTAAGGAAAACAGTGCAAATGACATCGTAAAGCGCTTAAGAGTGGCTTATGCTGGCTAGATAGGGCGCTTTATCAAATGTTGTATATTCTTATTATTATTTTCGTTTTGTAAAGTGGCGAGTGCCGTGGTGTGGGCACATGAGGCAGTGATGTACAATTCCGGTCAGATATGCACGGCCGGAAGTCGTACCTTCGTCCAGGAGGATATCTACGATGCCTTCATTCAGAAGAGTGTTGAAATGGCCAAGGCCAGAGCTGTAGGGGATCCGTTCGATCCGGCAACTAGAAACGGTCCGCAGGTACTGTGAATTTATGTTGTTTTTTTTATCAGGATATCATTCAACTAATTTTATTGAAAATCTTAGTTATTTGTGAATGATTTATAAAAGTAAAAAGGATGCGCAATAGTTCTATAATTTCATTCTTTCAATTCAAATTCTATTTATTTAATAAATATGGATCAAAAGGAAATGCATTTCCAGTCATTGTGCTGTACAGGTACTATATGCCATGCTTTTATCAAGAATTATAATTGTGTACTTGAAGTTTTGACATAATCAGACACTTACACATATATTAAATAAAATAAAAGAATAATCAACATGTGTGCGTAAAGAATAGTGGAATGCATAACGAGTGAGAAAAAAATAATGTTTGAAACTCGACTTATAGTATTAGTTGTCTTTGGGCAAGGAGGGGTCTACGGGCTTATGGACCTCCGAGCCGAAGGCGAGGGGTCTATAAAGCCCACCGGGTCTATTAGCCAGTAGGCCCCTCCTAACCAAGAGATAACTACTTTGTCACCCTGACAAACTTTCATTACTTTTCTGCAAAATTATAAGTCCCTTTGTGAGTTTGAGTTGTACTTGACTGCGACCAAAATAGCCCCTAGCGGACACCTTTTCGACAATATTTCGGACAATACATAACCATCTATGTAATTACCACTCTAGCGGCCCCCTCATTGCCTGTTTTGTTGAATTTGCCGCGCTTTAAATTGTTTGTAGGCTATTTCAACATGTGAAGGATTGGCAGAGCGGGGTCTATATAAATATAGACCCCAGCAGGATATCCAATCAGAGAGAGTGTTACAAATTAGAAGGGTGATACATTTATGTATTCCAACAAATTTTACATAGGACGATTGTGAAGTAAAATGTTATAAAAGTGACCTTTCTCGTCTATGTCAGTGCGCATTCGCCTATATTATGCAAAGTGTTCTAGAGAATCCAATTATCTAATTTAGGTTGTACATTTGCGCATGCAAATAATTATCATGTGATACCTCATATAACAAGCTGCGTTTCTGTATCATTTTCGATGTTTAGGGCAGTTGTCCTGTTTTGCATGTTTAATATAGTTACATTGGTCTGGGTACTATATGACTAATATATTATTGATTGCGTTGTCGTAAATATAAGAGAAAAATAAGAAAGAAAAAAGATGCATCGGACAGGTGGTTTGAAATGAAATAAACACATGTAAAATTGTCATATCTTTTTAAATCAAATGTACAATTCTGTGAAATTGAAAATCAGTGAGATAAACACACACGTTAGTAAGTGTTCAAGTACTACAGGATTAATTTGCACAGAAATGATACATTTTTTAATGTAAACACATGAATTGTACAGGTTTCAGAATTATACGTGTTGATATTACAATATATAATAGATAAATAAAAGCACGATTAACAGTACATAACTGATTAATGGATTAATGTAAGCTCTGGGCCCGTATTCATGAAACCGTTCCAATGCGAAAGCATTAATTTTGTGCTCAAACAAACTTTCTTTAAACTCTTTTTATTCATGTCAAATGATCAAAACAGTATTTTGCCTTACTTTTGAAACGTAAATTCCTGGCTTGAACACAAAATCCATACTTAAGCATGAGAAAGGTTTCATTAATACGGGTCCAGATTACAATGTTTAGCAGATGTTCCAACTTAAACCTCTTTAAACAAAACAGTAGATGTAAATAAAGCGGAAAAGAGGCAGGAGGGTTGATTACCGGTAAAATATCCTTTACATTATAGATAGACGACGTCCAGCTGCGGCGAGTCATGGAACTGATTGACTCTGGGAAGAAGGAGGGAGCCACATTGGAGTGTGGAGGGGGGAGACATGGAGAAAAGGGTTACTTCGTCAAACCAACCGTGTTCTCAGGGGTCCAAGACGACATGCGCATAGCTAAAGAAGAGGTACTACACATTATTGTGTTCTTGCAAAAAACTTATTTTTGCAATTACTAACAAGGGGTTAATTATTAGCCTAAGAAATATACAGAACATTTTATACATTCGAAATTGTATATGATAAATTGGTTTAGAGTTTGCGAAGTGCTAATTTTGAGTTAAATTTTTATAAAATAAACATAAAAATACAAGATAAAATAAAATACAAATTGATGAGAGATTTCCTGAGCATAAAAAGGAATTATATGAATTATCTCTTACGACATCAACAAATGCACAAAATGCAATATCAAAATTGCACAGTCGTATTTTGTCACAAAAATGCAAAAATAACAACTGCATCCTGTAAGATTTACATTATGATGCCTGTTTAAAATTTGTTTTTGCAGCAATCATTGTTTTTTTCTTTCCCTAGATTTTCGGTCCTGTCCAGCAAATCATCAAATTTAAAACAATGGATGAGGTGATCGAACGGGCGAACAAGACCCATTATGGCCTGGGTGCTGCTATCTTCACAAAGGACATTGACAAAGCAATGACATTCTCACAGGCGGTCAAGGCCGGAACAGTCTGGTGATTATAGAGAGAACAACTTATAACATTTACTATTTGATATTTAAATAAGTTTTGATAATAAATCTTTCTATAATCAAGCAAAAATCTTACGTGAGTACGTCTTTAAATGATAAAATTTGCTGAATTCTCGTTTTTATGTTATAGAAATATAGAAGTTTTCGTTAATATCAACTTTCAACTTTGTGTTCAAATAGAGTATTTTTTTCTCCATTTAAATCCATCGATTTAAGTCATTCAACATATACATTACGTTGTTAAAGAACACATGTATAAACAGTAGCTTGATACATGCATTTGTGACAGACCTTCCCAAGGTTTATAGTTTGGATATGTTGAATGGTTTATGAGGTAAAGCCCCACTTTCCAGAACTACAACATACGTACATTATATATTATAGAAATGTACCAGAGGTAAAAATGGATTATATTTTTGTAAGACGGTCATTATTTAAGTATGCAAACAAATTTGACTAAATATTGAACATGTTGACCCCATTGTTGTGCAAACTGTCATAAGTTCTGACGGAAATTATCACAAATCCTTCATTTAAGATATTATCTATGATTTCATCTGACATAATTGTTGCTGTTTGGCTCATATCTTTGTCACTGATATTTCATTTACCGACACGTTCATTCAACGTGCATACAGATTGATATTAAATTTGGTTTAAGTTCATTTTTGTTGAATTCAGTAACAAATACTATACACAAAAAAAGTCCAATGTATATGTCTCATGTAGACTTTAGGTTCATAGAGATGCTAGCAGATACATTACTCATAGTTATGTAAAGAGTGATCTCCCTTTGAGGCGTTTTTCTCATTTTAGACAGGAGAAGTCATAATGAAGAAGTAAATATCCTTAAACGGAAATAACATTGTTTATGAAGCATATTTTTGTAACAATATTTCCTATTGTGCTCCCGTTGCCAGGGTCAACTGTTACAACATCATTAGTCCCATGGCGCCATTTGGTGGATTTAAGATGTCCGGACTTGGGCGTGAACTGTAAGTCATCGATCATTTGATTACTTTTCAAGTGATTTGGCCTGTTCACAATTGAACTAACACATCCTTGCATATTATCGTTGCATGGTTGTGTTTTGAAAAAAACCCGATTGAAAACGTTTCAGCATTCAGATCATTGAACAGGTTCAATTTATTACTTAAAGCCTATTCTGAGGACTTTACTATAGGAAACGACAATATTCATTAAAACTCAGAGTTACAAAACCCGTTCACCATAGCATATCATAACACTTAGATAAGAGTCGAGACACCGGGTATTTACAATCTTTTCTTACCAAGAAAACATACGTCTTCAAAATACATTCAATTACTGTTTGTATTCATAACACATTTAACTTAAAAGATGTTTTAAAATAAAAACAAAACTCCGTATTCAACAAATAAGAAATTCTAATCTTTTTCAAATTGTTCATGAAGAGACACAGACCTGTGTTTCAAAACTGAAAAAAAGAAAGTTTGTATAAGAAATTTTTAGACTACAACTGGAGCTTAATGCTTTTATTAGAAAATTCTCCAACTAAAAGTTATATTTCATTCATTCATGATTTGATTATAATTGTTTGATGAATATATTGTTATATTCGTTTTACAGAGGGGAGTATGGACTTCAACAATATACAGAGGTGAAAAACGTGAGTAGATAATTTACTGTTCTGTATTTCTGGGAAATATGGTATGTTTAGTGGTCGCTGTTTTGTGATCAGAATGGTATTTTATGCTCACAATTCTCAAAACATATCAGCTGTCGAAACGATTCAACAGTTGTGCTCCATTAGCATCCCAAAGTGAAGTGTCAAGGGGTCTAGCAACATCACCTACTAAATTGGAAATTTACTTAACTGTGTCATTGAGCTTAAAATCACTGATACTACTAATGGCAGTGCAAGTGTTTTGTAAAATCTACGTCACCACAAAATGCTTGTACAATTAGTTGAATAATACCAGATTAATTTTATATAATATGCATATACCATATACACCCAGTGCAATTCTCAACTAATCAATGAACCCGATATATTTATACTATTTGTATAATAACAAACGTAATCTCTTAGTATACTTACGTAAATACATATAAGAGGTCAACCAGTGTATATGTAAAATGTTACCAATTCTGTGTGAATACAAATACTATCTTGTTTTTACGTAGGTCGTTGTGAAGATTCCGCAGAAGAACTCGTAACGGCATTGCTTGTTAAAGTTACAGGAGATGATATGTCCCGGAAATCTACTGAAATACGAACATTTATGAAATATTGATGTGTGTCAAAAGCTTAACGAACGTGTGTTATAACCAGTATAGATAAGTGTTATAACTTATTAGTGTGTATTACACTTTAACCTTATACGTTTTACTTTCCGACAGAAAAAAACATGTAACAGTGATAATTTCAATCCAAGAAAAGTATTATCAACATGTTGTATTTGTCCATTCAAGTGTTTTTCTTTTCTTTTTAAAATAAAAAAATAATGATTTAAAAATACCTTGTACATGTTGTTTTTTTACATCTAAATTAACAATCATAATATCAACTATATCCGTTTTGTTTATTCGGTGTACCTTTTACTATTGTACGTTGGCATCTTTCGTTGTGTTTAGACTAATTATTAAGCGTTAAATACATTTCTATGTGGAGGTGCAATATTTTGGAATCGATTTCCGATGTTACACAGTACAAATGTATATTTGTTCGGGATTATTGATAAACTTAAGGATCCCTGTCTCGCTGTAGGCACTTCCACTGTCGTATTCCAAAGAGTGGGACGACTGGTTCGCCCGTTGTCAGTATAATGTGACCGGGGGGGGCGTCCTGCTGGGTGTCTTCGGCAGTATGTTTCAGTGAGGTAGCACTATAAAGTCGGCATCAGTTCTGCGCTATTACAAGGAGACAAACACGAACATATCGCAGCCTCCCAAAAAACACACACATACACCACACGCATAATTCTTGCACAAAGGGGAGGCCGTCCTTAAATGACCTTAGCTGTTAATAGGACGTTAAACAACATTAAACAAACAAACAAAGAGCTACCTCCCCATAACTTCGTTTTGGAAATAATTGAAGAGAAACTGAGCTACGTGATTATCGGTCTATATGAACATTCAGCTGGTTAAAGCGACCGCATTGTAATGGATGTCCAGGTTTTGAATCCCGGTCTTGCTTTGTTGTATAACTTTTCTTAGAACACTGTTTTATTTCGTATATTTTCAATATGGGATTCTTTTAAGAAACTATATTTTAAAGTTATTTTCGAAAAGAAAGGTTCAAATTCATAGTTTCAGATTACGGGGATCTGTAGCTGAAAGGAAAACGCTTACATCTGTAGAGCTTTCCGTATACTTTTGGTCACAATTGTAACACATGCGATTTGAACGCCCTAACGACGTTATTAACGAAAACAAAATGGAAGTAATTAAAGAAGCATGTCTTGAAGGGGACGCATTACATGCCACCACTTCATTTTCTGTTTCATACAAACACACTATGAAGTCATAACATTCGGTAGACATTGGACTCATAGAGCTGTACATCAGTTCAATATAACGACACTTAGGTTTATTAAAATATGTAAAGCTTTAGGTTGACAGGACGCGTGCACATTGGGTAACGATACCGGTATTATGTAAGTATTGAGCTTATAAAATACCGATGCATATTTTGCAATATAAATGTATTAAAACATAAAAAAAAAAATGCAATAGATAATATTCAAGAAATAATCATGTACCCTATGAATATTAATTAATATTCAACAAATAATTACTCAATAAATATTCAAAAGATACTTAGATGTACCCTATGAATATTAACCATAATTTTACAAGTCATACCTCATTTTGCTATTTCAGTAATTGAGAATTAAGACCCCATTATGTTTCGTTATTTACTATGTACCCTAAACAAAGTCGGCAAAACATACGATTTCGTATACGTCATCTTTGTAGACATAGTAAACAAAAGTTCTGTTAAATGAGTGGTTTGTTTCAAAGTATTCCGTTATCTGGTTTGTATGTGTTTCCTTGAGCAAACGGAGAAATAAGAGAAGGCAAGAATTTTGCCGGAAATAGAAAAACCTATATTGTCATATTTGTGTACGTTTTGCGTACTACCACTTCCAACTCCCCAATATTTGTAACAAGATAATTCTGAAAGGTTTTTATGTTATCTTCTTTCTCATTTCATATACATTTGTTGAAGACTATTCACACACCGAATTGTCCATCGAAATACATTAAACCATTTCGACTGATAATCCAATTTGTGTACAGTAATTCACCACAGCACATTTCAACCCTTATTGCTGTATATACATTACACCGCTCTTGATGAAAGATGTCTATATCTTATCTAGTACCCTCTGTTTGCCGGGGGTTAGACTATGTGGGGGCTACAAGTTGAGCAGGTGAACGGCATACCACAGAGAGAAATCAATCGGATTCGGTACCACCAGCTGTCCAAGTAATGCAAATACAGTATTTAGATAAATAACTTCCCCGTGTGTAGATTTCAAAAATAAATACAATTTAGGAATATTTTCATGTTAAGAATGATAAGAAGTATATCAGCTTCTGTGTTTCTATCTATCGCATTCATTCAGTTGTTTTGCTCGTAATATAGTAAGCCAATTACTGACAGTTTTGCTATGAGTAAGCCATACTTAAAATATGACGTCATTATGACAAATCTTCACAATCAAATAGTTTGTTCAAGCATCAGACTGGAGAATCATCTACTTAACAGTATAGTGGTGTTTTATCTTAGTTTCAACTCTAATACATAGGTTTTTCCCCCCATATCATTTATGACGTCATAATAGCTAAAACATAAATATGTTGGTTTTATTTTAGCATTTCTATTTGGCCTGCGCCAAAAAAATTGATCTTAATTACAATTTAATGTCAAGAGATATTAACAAAATTCGTTATAACGTTTTATGATAGCTGTTCGTTCATCCTACATATTCAAGTGCACAACATGAAGCCCTATTCAGCACAATGATTCATTCAGAAACTATGCATAGTTATCATTTGAACGTAAATCGAAATATTAATGGGAAACGTTTCATGTATTTGAAAGACATTAACCAGTATACACTCGACAATAACACACAATTGAAATTCTGAATTTTACGCATTATTTCTGTCACTTGCCAAGTTGAGCGCTCGATTGTGATGATCGTTTAATTCGGTTCATGTGTTTATACACTTATAGACATATGTGAGTAATTCTTACTTAAATAAATTGTACCTTTAACGTCTGGTCGGGGAATCGAACCCGGCCGTTTTAGTGAAGGGCAAGTGCGTTGCCACCTCGCCACCCGACTTGGTCATACATACAAAAAAAGTTTTAATATAATTATACATATATAATAAAGAAAGAAAACACAAAATCATAGCGTGCCATCATTGAATATTCCACGATAGATTTAAATGTTTTTATGATTATCATCTATAATTTAGTACATGATAACTCGTACATGTAATATTGCAAAATTATACTTTTTTTGTAATAGCATGCAGGGTTGTTTCTTAATCCTTCATGAAGTAAAAATGTATATATTGAATAGTACTTTAACATCAAAATCGTCTTTCAACAGCATCTCAAACATCGATTCAAATTAATGATCTATTTTACATTTAATCCTATTGATATCGTACTTTCTTCGGTTTAAAATTCTCACTGCGGCACCGTTACCCTCTCAGTGCGTGCATGTTCAAATCTAAATGTGAACAGAAATATCTGATTAGAGGTATATATTATGATACTTATGACTCTTACTTGCGATGGATTGTGTAAATTCAAAAATGCGTTGTGAACTCCTAAAAAATAAAAATGACCACACTGGATGTTGGCTTCAGGTCGTGTCATTATCAACTACTTAAACTTTCGTTAGGAGATATATATTTTCAGTATCGACTCGATTTTCAGGTTGTCATTGGATTAAATAGCCCCCTTTAAATAGAATGACAATGTAACTAAATTATGTCGAACGTTCATTTTGTTTTGGTTCGGAGTTTCCCCTGCTGTTGCAAGCATGAAAAAGGTGATGTCAACATTTTACATATTATATTTCATCGATTTTATCGTCTCCCTAGTGTCCGGTGGTTGATCCAAATTGATGTTTCGTTTGATGATTGCCTGCAGAGGCCAAGATATATCTTGTAATATTTTTTGTTTAATTCTAAACAATTATTATAAATTATTCTATGGTTCAATAGCGATGAAGGTTAAGCTCTCAAAAATCGTTACTAAAATCTAAACTGTCAAATGATCGGCACAAGCTTAGCTGAGATAAGACAATCATTCGAAAAATTGCTTTGGTTTCATATTGTTCAACGTGCTACATGTGTCAGTAGCTAAGGTTACTTAAGGCCCAACCTCCATGTGCGTTTTGTATGCGTTCCTGCGTGTGTGTGTGAGGGTATGTTGGTGTAGATGCCTTCTTGTGATAGCACGGATCTGATGCCGTCTTTATATATCTTATTCAATACCATGCCGATGGCACCAAGAACAGCATTATGCCGGGTCAAACTATACTAACAACGGGTCGAAAAATATTTCGATTATCTCGCATTATCGGGAGATTTGTTTTTATTTTGTTTAACGTCCTATAAACAGCTGATGTCATTTAATGACGTGCCCCCATGTGTGGTGTGTATGCGTGTATGTGTGTATGTGTGCCGCAGACAGGGTATGTTGATGTAATTGCCTCCTTGTGATAGCTCGTATCTGATGACCACTTATAGTGCTATCTCACCGAACTACCATGCCGAACTCACCCAACATAACATTCTGCCCGGTCACATTATACTGACAACGGGTGAACAAGCTCTTGTCATTATCCCATATGCTGAACGTTAATCAGGGAATAACTACCATTTTTGTTAAGACTTTGTTATGTCCCGGCCTGCAAATAGAACCCGTTTCCTTCCTAACCTGGGCAAATTTTCAAAATTGAAGTCAAAAGTGAGGTGTTGCCTAGCAAGGCGCTAGAAAATAACAGATAATTAGACTTAGAAAGAAAGAGAGAACCCAAATATTGCAATGTGTGCAACAGATGTACTCTGTGTCCCCTATAGAGGGAAAGCAATTCCCCGATTCGGTAGGTATTCGAACATTAGTATTTACGATACACATGCAGCGGGATACAGCAGGTCTGTTCTTGATTTCGTCAGTGTCCCATCAATAGAGGACAAGGATGAAACCAACCCCGATTCTACAGGGGATTATTGGGAGATCTTATTGTTGGTAAATCAAAAGTAAGCTTCCCTAAAATAACCGTAAACCCTAAAATAAAGGCACCTCTAAAACAAGTTTAGCTATGACATTACACAGCTTCTTTTTTATTACCATCGATCAAACTGGAGTACCTACGCAACCCGTTTCTGGGAGTAATGCCGATTTTATGGAAACTTGATAAATCGACAAATACTATAATAATCAAATTATTAATGTTTCCTGAAGTCGGTTTTAAAACTTCTAAAGCATTTTGTGGAATTATACACATTATACCTATCAATAATGACGAAAACTCGAGCACTATTCACACCACTCTACTTACCTTCATTTCAAGTACGGTACATGGTACGTTAGATAAACAATCATATGTTATAACCAGCGTCCTACATTTGTGATAAAAACAGAAAAATATAAAAAAGATAAGTTAGAACTCAATGAAGCAATGAATATGAAAAGAGTAGGAATATTGTTGATATAGCGGGGCAATTATTGGCAGATAGCAGGAGAATGTAAAAGACATAAATATTTTGGTGATAAAAATAACAGGGAGGTTTTTCCACGCCAGAGCGATAAAACCAGCACTGCAATCAAAAGTCTGCAGGATAAGTTTAGATATGCCACATGATAAACACGAACGTTGGGAGTTATCCCAGTGGAAGTACAGTTCCAGCCAATTGTTTTTAGAAGTTTCGTGAAACAGATACATAGGTGCACGACGCTAAGAAGTAAAGTGGTACCATTTGCAAATTTATTTCAAAGAATTGTAGTAAGGAAGTACACTTAATCTATTTTCATGATTGAATTACTACGCTTCGTGTATTTTTGAGTTAATTATAGATTATAAGCACAGGCGGTAATTGGAGCGATATCGCGGTTATACCTGTTTACAATGGGGAGTTTATAACCTGAAGCTGTATATAAACGATCCGGACCGTATTATATTAACGTTTGTGATAGTTTACGCTCAAACACATTAATGCTGTGGAATAGCACAAAACGATGTCAAATGGAAGTATGGCCCTACACTGAAGATTCACAACGATAACTGTTGTGATGGTAGGGCATCGTTTTTATGGGACGAGTGCAGGCATTGTTTAAAATTTATAAAGACATCACGATGGCTTCAAAACAACAAGTCAAGGGTTTTACCGTTATCAAAGTACCAATTCAAAGTAAGTACTATTTCATATGGAAACATATATATACGATTCCGCGACATGCACGTATTATTTGTAAACTAATAGCAGCCAAGTGAGTTTCGGAATGTATGAAGCACTTGCCGGCGCATTCGTCTGAAGTGGTGAAATGGATGGCTCGTTGAGATGTCTATTTGATATTTTTATATTTATATATTGACTCTTATTGTTTTCCCAATTATGTTTTCGTGCGTAATACTGATGAGGTTTATGTGTAAATGAAATGTTGATTCCAATACAGAAATGTTCACATGCTAGTTTTAGACTGTTACGACTCATGCAAGGTTACATATGGAGGTATTACTGCACATGTACAAAAAGTTATACATGTTATGTATCTGGACATCATATACCCCATAAATAAATTGCATTAACTCAATCAACATAAAACTCGGTATATCCTTCCAACATTTTGATGTTAAATAAGATCGTGATGTACACAAAGAAATCGTCAACATAATATGACATAGCAATAAAACGTTAGAAATCGTGGCATTTCGTAGACGTTTTGCACTTATACAGCATTAAAGTAAATGCACTGTATAACAAATTATATGTATGCGAGTATTGGCATTCACAAACGAAGATGTTACTGGAACTGTTTGTGAATTTTTGTTTTCAATATAAGATATCCCCCGTCAATCTTGGTTCATGAAAGGTCGGGACTATTCAGGAGTTATATATCTATTTGCGAATTAATCGAACGTAAAAAGTAGCAATCGTACACAAGTAAACCCTTAAATTAGTATTACCCTCAGAAGTATCTCATATATGACTTTAGTATACCCTCAGTGTTTTTATTAAATTTGAGTAAATACTAAAGAGATATAATATACAGTATTTCAGTATACTTACGGTAGTAGTATTATACAATCATTCATTATTTGTATCATATTACATATAAGTAATCACTAAGTAGTGATATTTTAAAACCTTTGAGTATAACCCGAGTGTGAATATTACACAACCTTTAAGTAAACACCGTGTAGTTTTCTAAAACAATATATGAGAATACACTAAGTAGTTATGTTTACAATACTTGAGTGTAACATACTAAATAGTTATACTTTACGACATCACGTAGTTATGTTATACAATATTTTTTGTGATATATTATTACACATATATGATATGTAATTTTTTATATGATATATCTTTATTAGGGGACAATGCACCGATTGGTACAGTCCTTCCAAACAATATCCCAAGTCAGTCGCTCCTGACACAATGGATGAACCGTCCAAAGCCAATAGTCGGCTGTCCACCGGGACTCGAATACCTCACAAATATGGATCAACTCATCATTAAACAGCAACTGGAAACACTCGAAGGTAAATGCTGCGTAACTCTTCATCGGCGTGGAAAGAGATACTCCAATGTTTGAGCAGAGTACTCTTCATCGTTTTTGATAATGATTTACATCGTCAGCTGGAATTAACTATTGCATGTCTGTACAACTCATTGCTATATTTAATAATAATAACAAAACTTAGTATTTTGATAAGTGTATGAACATTTTAATAAAGTCGGATTCTGAAAAGTGTCATTCACATCCCTTAAAATTATCGTGCTAAGGCACACAAGTCTTCAAAAATACACGACACTGATTTGGGGATTAATTATTTCCAGCATTTCGTCATATTTCTTGACTACAACAAACGTAACCTTTTTGAGTAAAATAAATGAAATATGTATGAACGATTTTAAAAGCGTTATGGTGACAATAACAACTAACTGAAATCGTAGAGAAATGTCTAGGTTTTCTGTATTTCAAAAGGATTTATAACTCGATTGATGACACCACTGTCTTACTATGTCCTGATTTTTGCAGTATTCACTGGTTGGGAGACTGCCAACAAATACAAACTTCTCAATAGCCAAGGTCAGCAGGTCTATTTTGCAGCGGAAGGTGAGTCAGGCATGTTTCTTAAATCACTCCAATGATTGATTGTATTTCTCGCACACACACACATATATATAAATACATATTCAGAATTTACAAAGTACAGAAAACAAGTTTTCACATAATAAAATATGGTTCCTAGGCAACATCGGCATCCATCTTTAAAGCGATGGTGATGTCATCCTTATAATTGGCGTGACACAAAAGTACTGTGTCAGATGATTTTCTCTCGATTGAAAAAAAATTGAATTGTTACAAAACATTGAAGGTGAAGAAACACATATGATAAACTCTGCAACATATACAGCTGTATCGTTCTTCAAGGTCTCATCGGTGACACTAGGGCCAAAAAGCTTGGAATCAAAATTGGCAAGATCTACTGTTAAAACAAAAAGGACGTGTGTAAAACCCCTGTTAGATTAAAACAAAAGAAGTATTATTACATTTTAAATCAATAAGTGAAGTGTGTATATTATGACGCGTGCCTCAACTTAAAAGAGTTACTTTGGCTACCAAGGTTACGTTAAACCACGGGGACTCAGAAACCAACCCGTAGAGTCAACGACCGTGTATCATGAAAGATGCGCGTCATACACCCACGTGTAAATGCACCTATAATTTCTTGATATAACGTATATGCCAAAATGAATAGCGCTACACCATACAGCTTAATGAAGATGTTTTGAACGAACTGTATGTGCATTAATATCGAAGAAGGTAAATGTCAATTTCTAGTGAAGAAGTCGTAATGGTGACGTGACTGTGAGAGCAATTTAAAGACGTCGTATTTTATGTGTACATGAAGCTTGTAATCTATGACTTTCTGTATCAATTAAAACATATATTATTTATATATCCTCCGCTTTCAGGACTTATTGTGGGTACACATTATTGAGGTTAAGTTTAAACATGTGAGTATCGTGCTGTTGAGACATAATGTATAGCTTGAAACTCGAAGAAAAAAAGCCTTATCTAATATTTGCTAGAGTTATTAAACGGAAACTGCAGATAATGACTCTGTCAAATGGAGTCCGATTAAAGTGGTTGTTAAACTTGGCCAAGCCCTTAGTGCGTTGAACCCTGTTGCTAAGTTTGATGAAAATCGGATACTATTTGCGAGAGTAAATGAACAGAAACGGAAGATAATGACATTTTTCATTGGTCAAGGGGCCATTACTTCGCCAAATGGGGTCCGCTGATATTGGTCATCGAACTTGGCTGAGCCCTTCAGGTATTGAACCTTGTGACCAAGTTTGAAGAAAACGGTAAACATTTGTTGTAGTTATTGCACGGAAACGAAGCGTGACAAACAGACAGACAGACAAACCGAAATTAATATCCCCCGTTTTAGTGAAAGCTGGGGATAATAACTAATAACGACAACGTGAACTCTACTTAAGCAATATAGGAATATTGACAAAAAATGCAAAACAAATAATCACTATATTCATACCTGCAACAAAAGATAACGGCACTCGTCAATTACAAAGCCAATCAATTATCAATCAACATTCAGCATGGTTTTAATACGTCAAATACGCATTAAAAATGTATTCTATTGGAGACATACATAAAATATTTGTTAGTGTTAGGTTTAACAGCTTAAGTCATATGAAGACTGGTGTCTAGGGAGACGCCGCCAAAAAGGAGTAGAAAGGGGGGGGGGGGGGGGGGGGGGCGGCGGCTGATCGATTTTGGACTCTTGAGTTTCCTCCATGTAAAAACACCGAAGAAGAAGAAAAATACGATCTTACAAAGGCGCTATATTAGTTACTTCTTACGACATACAATGCAATACCACCTGCTTATTCCTGTCCCGATTTTGCACAGTGTACATATAGATGTAAAATAGTTCTATATACACAAATTGCATTCGAAATGAAACATTTGCACTCTCTGAAGTGATATCTTATAGCACTAATCTCGCTGAAGGCCTCGAACTGTCATTGGTTGTATCTAATTGGCATTGTATGTAAAGGATCGCCAAGTAAATGGAATTTAATCTGAGATCCTATCAAAACACCTTTTTTTCAATGATCATTGGCAATACAATAAACTACTTTCAAAAACGTACTGTACATGAGTTATGTGTTAACTCTCTGAATGGTCGCTGATATGGTAACATGTTAAGCAACAAACGATCACTCAACTTGATATATAAATGTGCTATCCTAACGATTCCTGGTAATCACATACATTTCAAAGATAAAAGCTGTGCCATTGCACTAAGAATGATATTTATGTATAATGTTGGCAAATGTAGTTTCTGAATGGTTTGTTAGGTTTAGTTTTTTGACGTCCTCAGAGTCCTTGCCCTTTTGTTATCAAACATAAACAGTTCCACTATATTTTTTATATCTACATTAACCTACTTTGCTGTACATCTTATTGTAGCTAGACTAGACCAGTGGACTACCGTTAACAAGTTTGTTAAAAGAGACGGTATTTTAATCACAAGTCTAGAGTTTAAATCCATCATCGATGGGTGGTCGGTTGGCACTGTGGATATTACACTTGCCTTCCGCATAGGAGGCCAGGTTAAGATTCCCAGATTGGACGTGAACAGTTATTGGTTCACCTACTTTATCACATGGGTTTTCTTCGGGTACTCCGGTTTCATCCCACATTAAAACCCCATCGCTCTAATATCCGGGCCAACAAGAGTGGTTCATATAAGTTGAAATAACTTGTCAGAATTGTTGAAAAATAAAGTTTACTTTAGTTTAATACCATCGTTTCACATATGTACAAATGGTATTTTTTAAAATGAATTGTAAACAAGTGAAGTATATATACACGCAAGACGCTTTCCCTTCCAGAGCACCTGATAATCTCGTTTTGTTCAAATGTCTACATGTTTATCTTTCTTTTTAGAATGATTTGCTTCAGGCATAATTCATTTTTAGTGCGATTCAAGGTTTGTTGGACACTTAGCGTATAGCTTAGTGTTATGATGTTATGACTTTCTGATGTGCACGAACATCACTGAAGAATGAACATACTGAAATGAGTTTATGATATTTTAACTTTGGTTTGGTTTAGTATTGTTTAACGTCCTATCAACAGCTATGGTCATTTACGGACGGCCTTCCCTGTGTGCAAGATGCATGCGTGTGTTTTGGGAGGCTGCGATATGTTCGTGTTTGTCTCCATGTAATAGTGCGGAACTGATGCCGACTTTATATTGCTACCTCACTGAAACATACTGCCGGAGACACCCAGCAGGACCCCCCACCCGGTCACATTATACTGACAACGGGCGAACCAGTTGTCCCACTCCTAAATTCCTGAGTGTTAAGCAGGAGTAGAAACTACCATTTTTACAGACAGACTCTGGTATGTCTCGGCAAGGGAACAAACCCAAAGCCCTCCTCACAGGCTACACTAACATTCATTGCAGTAGTGGCACTGCAACATCCACAGATATGTCATGGCAATATAATCTTTCTAATACTGAATTGAATGACGTATATCCTTTAAAATGTTTTTTTTTTTATTTCTGATAGAGCAAAATATGTACAGTAACAATTTTGTTACGGCGAAAGTGTAGCAAATATTTCACTGCTTACGTTGACAATTTGTTTACAAAAATGTATTGTTTTTGTTTGATTGACAGAATCTGGCATGTGTGAACGTCAATGCTGTGGGTCCAGTCGTGGTTTCAGTCTCCATATCACAGACAACGCTGGACAGGTAGGTTATACGCTTACAGAGATAGATAACAATGTCGAGTTAACCCATGTAGATTACATAAACAAACAGGTAGATAGCACACGTGTTGATAATATGTGCAGAATGGTGGGTAGCACAACTGCATCGTTGTAACAGGGGAAGTGGATCACACTATGGTCGATTTATTCTTTCAACAGTGTTGTGCAATGCCCACTGTCAATACCTCTTAACATTAGAGTCAACAGCAGTAAATTCATTCACACAATCTTTCCCAAAGCCAATAAACAATCTTTCGAACATATTATAGTGTTTAATATTACGTAAGAAGAGGGACATAGGTTTTATAATTATTCATATTTCATACATAAGCATGTATTTTTTAAACAAAATGTAACCTTTCTGAATCAGCAATGTTGATGATTAATCCAAGGAGTGTTCTGCAATGAACGATTGCCTAATATCTTCCTTCTGGTTTGCATCAGTGTTACAGGTTTTTTTAATTCCTATTTTCGTTTTTGTCCGAACATCAAATACGTTAAGACTCTTCTGTCAGTAAAGTATTTTGCTTTAGCAACACCATTTGGTATTTATTGTTAGGAAATCATCAAGTGTACTCGGGATTTCAAGTGCTGCGCCGGATTCTGCTGGCTCGCTAACTTTGACGTTTTCGCCCATGAGATAGCTGTGGAGGCGCCCGTGGGGACAGTTGTCGGATATGTCCGCCAAGAGTAAGTTGCACACCGACGCAGAGAACTAGTGAATGATTTTAATTAACTGCCTCAATTTGATTCAGAATCGTCAAGATGTCAATGCGACATTTTGATTATATGCAATATGCATAGCAGAAATCTGATGTATTGTGTGCAACAATTTATCGAAAAAAAATGCCCAATTTATTTTAAAATATACTAAATTGTATTAGTTTTCACTTTCTGTTCGACATCTGGTACTTGTATATCATATTTCTTGTGTTACATGGATTAAATCACTTTGATCTATATTCTAGGCGAAGTTGCTGGACCCCCCACTACAGCATCAGGGATGCCAATCGCGAAATCGTATTCCATATTAAGGGACCATGTTGTGTGATGAATGGGTGTTGTTGGGACCAGGAATTCATTGTAAGTTATACTTCAAAATTAATGGCAAACGATCTAACAGTTGCGACTATACTATAAGGTGATACAAATCTACTCCTCTAAGTAATGTTTTATTGTAAGGTTAAGGGTATAACTGCATGAAAATTAATAAATAGAATGGGCACATGTTTTTCCTTGACATTTTATTTCTTAAAATAAAACATCGGGAATATTCATAATGAAGAATTCGAATAATTCATGTTATACTCGCCTAGAACAAAACTCATAACGTGACGTGGTCAATTTATTTTGTTGCTGAAGTTATTTTTTAATTCTATTAGGTCATTAAACAGTGTTTCTTTTTCAGTAAGTCACATTTGCATTATGATTTTGTTTCATATGATTTGTGTAAACTCATAAACAAATTTACTGCAAAACGCAAGAACTGTATAATGTTTTATCCTGAAATATACTTTATCATGTGTTTAAAACTGCAGGTGTGGTCTAAAGATTGGACGGAAGAAGTTGGAAAGATCAGTAAAAAGTGGACTGGATTTACTAAGGAATTATTTACAGATGCTGATAACTTTGGAATGAATTGTAAGTTTTCATTGAAAATACCATCGCATTATTTAATTTTTCTGTTTCATAAAGCTAGAAATCATCTTGTTAAAATAGAATTTCTGTAATCATGCAATTTTGTTTTCCCAATTTAGTTCCAATGGATTTAGATGTGAAGTTGAAAGCGGTCATGCTGGGAGCAGTGTTCCTAATTGTAAGTTTGTTTACTTTTTTTTTTTATCTGGCGAACCACGAGTTCAGGATATATATATTTCGTTACCATGGTACACTATGTATAAAATCTCCCTTATAATGGTTTGTTTGGACCATAAGAATTAATGGTTATCTATATTTCACGTTTGTTAGATATAAAGGAAATATACAAGTGATAAAAGTTAGGATATAATTAATTGGCGATTTATTAGCTTTTTTTCTTGTTTCCAATTTGCGTCAACAAACGATAGCTATGTAGAGGTAAACATGCCGTTTTAGAAATACTCTTCATTAAGCGATTAAAAATGCCGGTTACGTGATAAATAAATGCGTCCATACAGTTCATATTCCCCTGTGCGTTAAAACATATTTGGGTCTCAATGTAAGTACGACTACGTTCTTATCAAAACAATACTTACATTGTGACGGGCATTTCAGTTATTTGACGCATAAACTTGGTGAATCATGATTAACAATTATCCTGCATATATGGATTTTCTAATTTGGTCAATTTATGATGTGAACTCAAGGAGAGCATGTTCAAAAACTATGATAAGTAATAAATAATATATAATATTCAATAAAATCATAGTACTTTTCCATAAAAAAAATATTTCACTTAACATGTCTTCATTAAGTACAACATTCAGTGTGATCTTTTTCGATTACTTCCAGACATTTATGCTATGTTAAGCCTTAATAAGTATTTATGGTAGCATGGGCTGTGTTCAATAAGTTATCTACATGTAGAGTAAAAACAGAGAAATAAACAAAAATGAAATAATTGTGAAAGTATTTAAAACATACATAAGACTAAGGAATCATTCTTTTCGACGTCTACAATGTCTTTAATATAAGAATAAACAGATTTCAAATTGAATATTGTTCGGAGAATATCGATAAATACGAAATACGGTAGTCTTTTCTCTGTTCATGTGTATCGGAGAAAAACACAAAAGTTTACCCTCTGGTCCATAACTCTGCTTTTCCTTTCAGATAGATAAACCAACTAATGCTGCATAGTTCCTTTGTAAAGTTTCAGTTTGAGTTAATAAAAGTAAAAATAACATAATAAAATCCATGAAGTCAGTTCGGCTAAACGTTCAAAGGGAAGTAACAAAATTCTGTACTGGGAACACATTCTTCTAAGCTAACGTGGAATAGCAATACATATCGCATTAACACTTTCATTATTCCTAATTTGAGAACACCTTACAAAAATTGACCTGTAATTACTATGATTCGAAAACAATTTTTTTTCTCTTTTTTCAGGATTTTATATTTTTTGAACAGAAACAGAACTTTCACCATTAAAGCCGCCATATTCCTAAATGACGTCATGCAAGAGAGAAGAATATCAATCACTGATTAGTTTACAGAGAAAACGGTCCAATTTTCATTGAAAATCATTTGGAATTTCAGTAAAAAAAAATTAAGTTGATTGGAAGATAAGACATCATATTACTGTAAGCGTACATAATTCAGCGTTATTCTAACTTCTAAATAATGCGCTTAATTATGCGATAATTCGCGTTTCTGTGTCTAACTTCATATTGCATACATTATGAATGCACTAATTCACTAATGCGCTAACCAATTGATATGCAATAAGATGCTAAACTTTGAGTCCGCTAAAATACATGCACTTACTTTTACAGTATATATATTTTTACAACAAACCTGTTTTGCTCCACTTTTAAAAGAGACAATATTCACGGACAAGTATTGTTGCTTAGATATTTAAGGTTTAAGTAATTTTAGTTTTTTTTTTTCATTTAAAGCATCTGATTTGTTTTAACCTAAATAAATGAATCGGGATCATTTGATGAAAGGTCAAATGAAGATATAGGAATAGAAGCTACCTTGACGGATAACTGTCCAAATTTAACAAAAATCCTTTAAGATGCAAATATTCGTTTCAAACAAATCGCTTGGAGTTAGGAACAATCGTGGTAGAACACAGTACAATTAAATTTGTATATAGAAAAATATATATTATATCGATGCTTTATTTATGTCGAGTAACATGCCACATTTTGAAAAGTATTAGCATCACTATACTCGCTACGTTAGTAACTGGCTGATATACACAGTTTAACTCACACAACATAATATGATTATAATAACCAGCCGTCTTAATCACAAATAAATAGCAATTAATTGGCTCAATTGCGTTTGTTGTTTTTTTCCCCATAAAAACCGTTGATTGGTTAGCTAAATCATTTAATCAAAACAACAGCAAATTTTTATAACCAGACTTTTTGTTGTTTACAAGCGTGCCTCTGTGTGTATAATGAATGCATGCATGTATGTATGTGTGCTGGAGACACAGTTGTGTTAATGTAATTAACACACAGTTGTGTTAATGTAATTGCCACCTTGTGTTAGGGGGATCTGATGCCGACTCTACCGTGCTATTTTCACTGAAATACCATGACGAAGGCACGCAGCACAGCATGCCGCCCGGTCACATCATACTGAAAACGGGTGAACCAGTTGTTCCCATTTCCAAAAAATGCTTAACGATAAGCAGGGATTAACAAGTACTATTTTAAAGGAATTTAGTACTGTTTGCGCTGGTCTGGGGACAGAACACATTGACTTCCTCACCTGGGCAAACACACGCCCAACACCAAATCCAAAAGTGAGGTATTGCCAAGCAAGGCGCTAGGAATTAAAAGGTAGTTAGAGGTAAAGAGAAATACAAAGATTACAGCTATTGCAATTTATGCAGCAGATTTATTTTGGTCGCTTTAGTAGAGGGCGCACAATCGAGCCCCCAATTCTGCAGAGGGTTCCCACATTTGTCGTCTCTCACGATAAATGCAGTGGGTAACAGCAAGTGTATTCTTTTCCGTTCCCCGACCTGCAGGGGGTGAGATTAATTTTGTAAGATCTATTTATGTAAAATGTTGTTTTCTTATTTTAGTGTCTATCGCTTCATTTTGGTATATACATGTCGTATAATACGCCATGTTTTTCAATTTGTATTTATATTTAAGTAGAATAGTAGTGTAGGCTCGTTTTATGCTCTTTTCAAATCCTTATTTAGTAAATTTACTAAAAATATACTTTTCATCGTGTAGTCCGTGTTTAAATACAAAATACAAGTCCATGAACAATTTCCCACAGGAAAGTGGCATAACATGATCTGGGATGCCAACACAGAACTTACAACAGGTTGGTATTATTTATCAATAATTATTTGTTTCATAAATTGAGACTTAACTGTTTCTAATACATTTTGACAATTTAATATAAAGTGCATAATAAGATATATATATATATATATATATTCTGAGTAAGTTAGGATAGCAAATTGGTCTAGGGGAGGGCTATTCTGGGTTGGCATTATGTTTAGTAATTTATGAATAGTTTGAGATTAACAAATGTGACAACAACTTTAACCATTGTAATATAATGCCACCGTATTCAATAGATTATATATCTTGCCTGCTACATAATTTAATAGTTCATTATAGTTAATTATGGTCAGTACAAATGGTTATTACCACTTCACCTCTAGTGAATACAGGTTTAGGGACAGACAGATCAATTGAGTTCTGACAGCACTTAATATTCCACTTCAATCCAAACATTACTGCAAGCTCGACAGAAGGAGACAGTGTCTGCTATTGAAAATAAAGGGAGCTTACTCTCCTAAAACAAATTCAACACAAAAGTACTACTTGCCTTTGTTTAAAAAACATAATATGTATGCAGCAGATTATGTCTTTACAAAACTTATCATCCTGAGAATTGTTTAAAACAGCAACTGCGTGAAAATAGAATTATCCATGCATTGAAATTTGAAACGTTTACTAAAACTTTGACACTTACTATACACATGGGGCAGCATTCATATACTGTCCAAAGGTTTACAATCCTTTCTTAACATAAAGATTATTTAACTTACGTTTTATTGAATTATAAAGCATTGCTTGAGTTACTGGGAAATCTTATCTCTAGGAAATTTACTTCGGCAATGCATGACTATAGAAAACATCAATGTGGGGATATATCTTAATTAAAGAATGTGCTTTGGTTTTATTTTGCCTAACGTCCTATCAACAGTTATGGCCATTTAAGGTCAAGGATCCATGTGTGTAATATATGCGTTTTTGTGTGTATGTGTACTGGAAGAAAGGTATAAATTCAGGAACGTACGTGAAATTGAGGTCGGTTTATTTTCTGTTTATAATAGGTAAAAGATAATGCCTGATATTTATAGAGAAATGTTCCTAATGCCTCTGGTATTGCATTAACACTAGGAATTTACAAATAATATATAATATTTCGTAAATACAAGTAACCAATGAATGTTTTGTTACTACATATTCAATACTCTAAATGCTCAATGCGCAAATGTTAAAACAAAACAAAAATGCTAGAAGCAAAGTTGCTATTTCATCTTTTACATATTTTGAAAGAAAACTAGAAATTGGAAATCTCTAATCGTCACTTGGTAACAACGGTTGTCATTCATTGCAGGGAAGACTTTTACTGTACAAAATAGTTGTATTTTTCTTATTTTTGACTTGAGCAAGTCTGTTATGAAGTGGGCCTGCATTTGATAAGCGCCGGTCGACTCCCTAGGCAGGTGCATTGTTCAATTTAATTAAATGTTACGCAAACTGGCTACACGACGAACGCCAAGGCAGTCAATATTTATTGATGTCAGCTAAAGATAGTGACTCATGTTAAAATTATGTTGGTACACTAAATTCGAATATATGACGGTCACATGACCAGCGTACAACGATCCACTGGGCAACCGACTTTTCGAACAGGCCTGTGGATTATATGGTAAAGCTTCCTTTTCGAGTCAGTATCTAGAATGAAAGATAGATGATAACAGGAGAGACAGAAAGCCAGTTGTCTTGTTAGAGTTGAGAAAAGCTTACTTGTTTATTGAGGTCAAACGTACGAGGAGAATGTGGGCGACACATGTGTGACAAAGTACAACTGTAAAAGTAGATATCGTCACATCTAGGTCGAAGTTCATAGAGTATTTTGTCAGTACTGTTTACACGCGCGCCCCCTGGTGAGTAGTGTCGCGGCGGAACCCAATGGGAAGGCAATACTTGTCGACATACTAGCACATTTTGAGAGGACAAGTTAAATATTTGCCTTATCTACTCGTTGGCTGACTCTGCATATTAGAACCTGACTGTGTACACATAATTCGCATGTCATAGCACGCGTTTTTCAACTTTGAGTCCATGTTGATAAGATATCCGCGAAGAGCTAGATTACATCAGCTCAAAAGAACAATGTCAGAGACAGCAAACGCGATGTTTAAGATCGTCAAAGAAGGTTTTACAGATGTAAGTACCCAAAAACTGATAAATCATACATTAAAAGTTTGGTTAGCTTGTCGAAATCTACTTATTGCTTTACGTGATGTTCATAATGCCAATGCTTTCCAATAAGAGTTCCGTGTGGGTTTTTTTGTATACAAAATAATATGCTTTTACTACTGCTTTCATGTGTGGGAGGGTAGGTTGTTTACTTCTCACATTTGTATTACTTTGTTAAGTATAATTGTTGTTTATGATTTAGAGACATGGCTCTGTTACTTTCTGTGTTATTCACCCTTATGTAGGGTAGGGCTTTTCGTTCAGTGTAGGATTCCTGGCGATCAGCTGCTACGATACCGGTGCTGAAATCTGTGTGTTTACACTTTTGAGACGGCCGGAAGTGGGTGATAGTAATAACAGGAATAGGTTCCCGCTCCTTGCTCACATGCTTTTAGATGATGAGGCTGGGTTCGAGATTAACAGTTGATCACTCATCTTCGAGGCTATTTGGTGGGGGGAGCAGGGGGTATAAAACAGCCGGTCCGGGCGGGGATCAGTGTCTTGACAGGGTCGGTGAACCGACCCACAGCTTCAGGTGAGGTAAACCTTACCGCTTCATGCGCTGTTAACAGTGCAACCTAGGCCAAGGCGCTGCTAACAGTACCAATACCTAACTACTATGTGGAGTTATCTTTCCTTGGATTTAACAGTATAGAGTGCTATAGGGACCACCGTATATGTATGACTGAATAGTCAGGGGCTTCGGGCTTAGACATCGATACATAGTGGTTCGCTGTAGATCTATAGGTATCTAGGGGTACTTGGTTGTAGTTTACTGATATTGGTAGTACTGTTAGGCAGGATAGGCCATTGTTTTACATAGGAATTGAGTTACTTAACATTAGCTGTCACTGTTCGACGCTAGTGTTATGATCTTCCGTTGTTAAACTTGTTATATATATTCATTCCGTCTTGTTAATAAACAGTTACTTGTATTTTATACCCATTGTTACGTTATTGAATCAATTGCTGGTATTACCACTACATCCAGCGATCGAACCTGTAGTGAAAACAGGTCTGTAACCTGACGAAATAGGCGAGGTCTAGAGAGGACTGCAGGGGAAGTTGTCGACTCGTTACCATTGCTAAAAACTATACGATCACGAAACGGATTTAACCGAGTGACAACGGATGCAAAACCCTCTCTGGACCTCCCCCTATTACACATGTTATCGCGGTTATTTATCTATTTTTTATTTTCTTGATAGAATATTGGATACATTTTTATTTTACCGTAAGCTAACCAGTAACCAGGCTTTTAATGAGTAGGCCCTGCTTCTTCCAGACGCCGTCATAACATGAGAAACCTAACTATTTTTAAGTACCACATCATTCTGTCCTCATTTTGCGACAATGTAATGTTTTATTTGAACATGTGTGTTGGGTGGAGGTCGGATGGGAGATGGGTGTGTGCGTGGGAGTTGCGGGGAAGGGGAACGATTGGAAAGGGGAGGGAAAGGTATAGATAAGCGTGTAGTTTTGAGTGGTTAATTCATATCCAAAGATGAAATAATTTGAAAAATTACTGGACCGTGTGCTGTAGAGTTCTTCCTTTTTACGCTTGGTCCTAATTTTCGCGTTAATTCACACTGCTCATCGATCTCATAAATTAAAAGTATCAAAAATATTCTAAAACACAGATATTTCAAGACAATTACTTACGTAATGCAGTATATCAAACGTTTTCCCCTAAGGCAATATATGTTGTTGTTTTTTAATGATAGGCATCATAGGTTTTATTTTTTTTAAGAAATTTATGCGTCGATTTCTCCTACATAAAATATCAAATATGCTATTAAGAATAATGAAATCAGATAAGTTCGATAGTTTGGTGAATTTTCGATATATCAACAGATGTTTTATTTTTATTTTTACAGAGCCAGGTGTATATTGAAGAACTGAAATGAAAATTCTTATGGCATTTATACACATTTTTACATTCTTTAGGGTTCTCATTACGACAAATACAGACCCGACTACACACCGGAAACGACGTCAGCAATCTTACGTATGCTCACTGCTGAGCATGGTGTCAGTGCAGGTGACAATAAACTATACATCTGTATATATGTAATAAATGCATTGTGAACTATGTTGTAAAGCATAGTACCTTTAACAAAACACGTAGTTTTAAAAAGCTCACCTAGGATAGATCAAAGTCAATAATACAGAATTAAAGGATTCCATATGGGAAGCTTACTTTTTCTTTCATTAAAATACTTTAAACTTTAAAGCAGTAGTAAATAGACTTATTTGTGGTAGGCAAACGAGTGGTAAAATTAATAAATAGAACCAAAGTCCATTCTGTTCTACCTCCGTGTCATCATGAGCATTGGAAACATTTAGTCCAGAAGAAAATATTTTAACTTTAGCACTATAAGAAATACAGTAGTACACATAAATGAACTAATATTATTTTGAAAATTATCCATTTATCATTTGTTACAGGGCAACGTTTTAAAAGCATTTTATGCGTTTCAAGTCTACAGTACAGGGGTTATAAAATACTGTAAAAATGTATTTGCGTATATTTTGGAGCTTACTCATTTCAACACCGTGAAGAATTTTTACTTTCTTACAGTATGAAAAACATTGCTGTTGTTCCTTTCAGGTGAAAACTGTGACATTCTTGAACTTGGAGCGGGAACTGGAAAGCTCACAAAGCATTTGTACAAAGCACTCCCACCCGTAAGATTTACATAATTCAACAATGTTTATTTAGAAGTGACATAATACTATTTTGTATCGCTTACTATCAAGTCTCGAATCTTCTTTAGACGCATGGTTACTTTTATATAAATATCACATTCATGAGAGGGCGATATTGCATATTTTCACCCCAAGGAAGCATTGTTGACCGAGGCGAAGCCGAGGTTAACAATGCTTTCCGAGGGGTGAAACAATGCAATATCGCCCTCTCATGAATGTGATTTTTATTTTATTATACCGAGTGTCATGTTTAGGTGTTTCACCACTTCGCCATTTTTAAAGGTCGACAAACGTTTCAGAAAAGTTTTCACTGGGATGAACCAGGGGCGCATACATTCGGCGCATGTAACAATTTTTGGAATAACACCCTGGCACTGGGACGAACCGTGCACGCATACGTTTGGCGCATGTGATATTTTTTGGAATGTCACCCTGTCTTCTTTATCTTTGTAAAACGAGCAAGTAACATTGAAAATGTTCACATCTTTCTCAACCAATCAGATTACGAGATTTTAACAGAAGGTATAATAAAGTTAGTTAGTTAGGAATATTAACGGCCCATTAATTTCAAGATACGGTTGTTATGGCAATTATATTTTAAAATAACTACTGATGAAGTAAATATAGATTTTGTCATTTGATCACTGATGTTCATTAAACAAAGAATATGACAAGCAAAGTCGATGCCAGTCGTCTTCAAATAGGAAGTGAATAGCTTCTCGCAGTAGTATCGCCGACACTTTACCACTCGATTTACTTCAGTCTTAAATTACCAATAACAACAATACAATTTGTATTAAAGATTCTGTACAAGCCTGGTGTCGTCCGTCGATGTTATTTTTTGTGATGTATAATCACGTGTGTTTTAGTAGTCATATATACGTGAACATAATATCACAAGCCAACGGGAATGTTTTTATAAGATTTCATGGTGCTGTATATATATCCTCTTTATTATTAGGACCTGAAATTTGTTGCTACTGAACCAATGTCCGAGTTCCTGACAACGCTGCGAGAACGATGCCCAGGTGTGACCACTGTCAAGTGCACGGCCGACGTTATACCTTTCCCAGACAACTCTATCCAGGTCGGTTCATAATTTTCGTTTTTTCGCCATTATTAATGAATGAGTCACAAGAACGCGTATATATGTAGTAACAAACGTAGGGGTACGAATACATGACAAAAGTACACAACATCGGCTTCTGTAAATATGTAACATGTGGCACTACATAAGTTCAAAGCAAGTCACAGCACACATAAACATACATGACTTGATAAGGGAAGAAGCTTCGTCAGAGCACTACCGTTACCGCCAAATTTCAAATGAAGATTTTCAACACTTTTGTTATGTTTTCCAGGGACCTTCGGTGATAGCTTCGTTTTGAATTGTAATTAAATGTAAGTCATCTATGACGATTAATTGTGTAATCAGTCGTGTAAAACATCTATTTGAGCACTTTTTAATGCTTATTATATAGTAAATCATGGCGGTAAAACTGCAAATTCTCCGAAAAAGTGTTTGATTAGCATCAGATCCGCGCTAATGTTAGCAGGAAAATACCCCAAACATACCCTGCCTCCAGCACATGAAGTGGACGTAGTAATATTTGAGTCGGGACATACCAAAGTCTCTCAAAATGGTAGTTGTTATTCCCTGCTTAACGTTCAGCATTGAGGGTAATGGCAACAACCGGTTCATCCGTTGTCAGTATAATGTGACCGGCCGGAATGCTGTGCTTTGTGCCTTTAGCATGGTGTTTTTTAGTGAGTTAGCACTATCAAGTCGGCATCATATCCGCGCTATTACAAAGAGGCAAGTACACAAATATCCCTGTCTCTAGCACAAAAAAACACATACACAACACACATGCAAGCACGTTCTTTAATGACCTTAGATATTAACATGACGTTGACAACATAAAACCAAATCCACATGATAACCTCACCTACTGATCATGAGTTAGCTCTCGAACAGAGGTAATTAGGACCAATTAAAAATTGAAAAAAGATGTGAAAGGAAATGAAACCAAACGGACGAAAAGGTAAAAGACAATTGTCATTTTTTGGCTAAGGTTAGTTATATCAGACCAATTGTTTTAAGAAGGTTATAATTGTAGACATTAACTGTTTCGAAAAGGAGATTTGAAATATATTATTACAGTTTCATGTTCTTAATTTAAAAATTAATAAATTATATCAATAATTTCAAGTTACATGTATATAATATACGCAAACTAAAACAATAGTGGTCTATATCCCCTCAAATTGATGCCATCTGTCATTGTATTATTTATATTTTAGGGCATTGTTGCGGCGCAGTGTTTCCACTGGTTCGCTAACGAGTCTGCTTTGACCGAAATAACTAGGGTTCTTAAACCCAAGGGGAACTTAAGTAAGTCATAACCATTCTTTATGATATGGTAACAAAATTGAATATTTGATACAAGTTGTTCATATCCCAAACTTAATGTCATTGGCTTTCACAAGCTATCATTTTACACATTGTGATAAAAAAGCTTTGAGATAAAAATAACCATGACTCCCCCGCAATAATATAAAGAACACATAGATCATTTAGTTTATCTTCAACCGTATGTAAAACTTGCAATTATCAACGTGTCTTACATCAAATTCAGAAAAAAACCATATGACGCCAATATCATGATTTCATGCTTAATATAAAACTAGAAATACCCCCTAGTATAAAGTTTGACGATAATCTGTGAAAGAATGAAGTTATTAAGTGTTAACATTGAATCGGGACGTGGCGGACATTATATTCCCCCCCCCCCCCCCACCACCTTGTAAGCTATTCAGAGAACGTTATTTGTCATGATTTTATTGTGGTTTTACGTCCTCACAACAGCTAAGACGGTAGGTGACTATAGGGCCACTCAACAGAAAGTGTACAAATGAAAAACTAATTCAACAATGAACGAATTGGTTGTAAACTGTATAGGATTTTATTATCAAAATCTATTGAGTGTAAATAATCACATATGCGAGAAACAGTAGGCCTACTCCTCTCCCGAACCTGAAGGGAAACAAGAGGCTCACCTAGATATTTAAGCAATCATGGCAAAATATTCTCCAAGTGAGATCCAAGAGAATATGCCAGATCCCAAGGCCAATCCTTGTAGCATATCTGTATAAGATTGTTCATGCCCAGCAAGTTTGTGTATGGTTATGGGGTGGGGATCTCAACTGTTTTCAAGCTGTGACTCAGAAAATAGGTCCATAGGTTGTGGCCAGACCCCATGACCAATTCTAATATCACGACTGCATTCGTCTCTTTTTTTCCCAGCGTTTGTATTTATAGTTTTGGGGTGGGGATCTCAACCGTTTCAAAGTTATGACCCAAGGGTTAAATCTGCAAAGGTGGGGCAGACCATGGGCTCAATTATAATATCATGACTGCATTCGTCTCTTTAGGCCAAACAATTGTACATATAGTTTTAGGGTGGGGGTCTTAACCATGTCGAAGTTATGACCCAGGGGTTAAGTCTCCAAGGGTGGGGCAGACCCCAGGACCATCCTGTGCATTTATTTATTTATTTATACTCAGCTATTGTATATATGGTTATAGAGTGGGGATCTCAGCTGTTTCCAAGCTGTGACTAAGAAACTAGGTCCCTAGGGGGTCGGTCAGACCCCAGGGTCTATTCTTATAACATGACTGCATTCGTCTCCTTTTGCCCAGCATTTGTATATATAGTTTTGGAGAGGGGATCTCAACCGTTTCAAAGTTATGACCCAGGGACTGTGTCTCCAAGGGTGGGGCCATACCCTAGGGCCATCCTGGAAGCAACTGTGCCTTCTTCTCTTAATACTCAGCAATTGATTTATGGTTATACGGTAGGGATCTCAACCATTTTTACAGACGAAGTCGTTTATAGCAATATAGCCAAATTGCCCCACCCCTTACCCCCCTGGGGGTTCAGCTCCATCATTTGTACAATGTTGAATCCCCACCATCTAGGGATGCTCCCAGTCAAATATGATTGATATCCATCTCTTAGTTCCAGGGAAGAAGTCGCTTAAAGCAATATAGCCAAATTACCTGCTTTTAGCCCCGCCCCACAGTCTCATGGGGGTCAGCCCCACCATTTGTGCAATTTTGAATCCCCACCACGTAGGGATGATTCCAGTCAAATATGGTTGATATCCATATCTTAGTTCCAGAGAAGAAGTCTCTTAAAGCAATATAGCCGAATTGCCCCCTTTTGGCCCCGCCCCTCAGCCCAACCATTTGTACAATTTTGAATCCCCACCACCTAGGGATGCTTCCAGTCAAATTTAGTTAAATTCCAATCAGTGGTTAAGAAGAAAAATTCGTTCAAAGAAATTGTTGACGTACAGACGACGGACGTCACGGTATGGCATAAGCTCACTTTGGTCCTTCGGACCAGGTGAGCTAATACTACTTTGTGCATGACAATAGGCGACGTCATATACGATGCCGTATCTTTACTCACTACTTAGCCTAACCAATATGTAATGTGATAATCAAGTTCGACTTTTTCGCCCGTTTTCAGTATAATGTGACCGGGCGGGAGTGTCCTGCTAGGTGTTTTCGGCAGTACGTTTCAGTGAAGTAGCACTAAAAAGTCGGCATCAGTTCCGCGCTATCACAAGGAGACAAACACGAACATATCGCAGCCACCCAAAACACAAACGCCGCATGCATCTTGCACACAGGGGAGGCCATAGCTGTTGATAGGACGTTAAACAATACTAAACATAACTAAACCAAACCTTTCCTTCCTACAGTTCTCGTTTGGAATGTGCCGAACACCGAGGTTGACTGGGTTGACGTTCTCACTAAAAAGGCTTTGACCTTTTACAACGATGACGATCCGCAGTATGTTAGGTTTTGGTGGAAAGACGCTATAGATGCATTTCCTGGACTAGGACTTAAAACCAGGAAACTACTTGACTACACCACTTCTGAGGTAAGAATACCACAAAATGAATTACCGTTGATGTAGCACGTGTTAAATATGTATCTATTAATAGTATACAAGAATCACGTAGTGTCAACTAAACTATAATTCAAATTAATGGACTCAACACCAAGTCTTGACCGAGCTAACATGTATTTAAACCCTGTTAAATGAATATGATATATGGCGAAATTTCCCATAAAACAATATGTATATTGTACGTGTCTTTGTAATATCAGATATAATGGATTACGCACTAGATATTCATTTATATCCACAGTATACAATAGATGACATGAAGACCTTTTATTCCACCACATCGACATTCGCCAGCATGTCGGCGGACGATAAGGAACACGCTCTGGGAGAATTAGAGAAGGTCGTGAGATCTCATCCATCCACAGCCGACAAGACAATTCTACAGTATCCCAGAGTTACTGATTTATTGCAATATATAAAGCAGTGAAATTAAAAACCTACCTACGTTAGTTATTATTATTTCAATTTCTATTCAAAATGCCTCAATAAACCATATTTTTTTCTGATGCCAAATATTTGCTTGTTTCTTTTAATAATTGAAATAATCATTTACCGTTGCCATTATGATTTATTTCTTACATGGTCTATTCAAACGATTTGTTTGGAATTTAAGGTCTCGAAACAGCTAGGGTCATATGAGGACGGTTGCCTGGGGAGACACCGGCTGAAACAATGAGAAGATACAAACTAAGGAAGACAGGAATAATTGGAAACGGAAAAGATCCCAAGTGCTGCTATGGGGGCTGCAGATCAATGGCGGTATATTTTAAGTCCACTAGAAGAAGAAAAAAAAACACCAGAATCTGCAGTGAGACACATTGGTCGCCTTTTACGATATACATGCATTGGGATACAGCAGGTGTATTTTGAAAAAAAGAAAGAAACTACCCCCGATTCAACAAAGACCTCCTCTCTAGTCCCCTCTAACGATCATTTGTGACGTCCTCTTAAGAGCTCAGGCCCCGCTTGTATGGAACTTCTTAACTCCGTTCTCAATGCTTAACTTTCATTATATGCTTAACATTCGTCTTTTTACCAAATTCTTAATTCTCATTCCTTAAATTTGAAGTTGAGAACGGGCAAATATTTGAAAACGGATCTTATCATGCTTTAGTTTCATTCTTAATCATGGCAGACACTCACAGAGTTCCACATCGCAAATAGAATCGGTGCCGGCATATTTGACCCCTGTGATCCTGAATAAGGATGAAGGCCATTTATTTGTACAAACTTAGTAGCCTTTCATTCTAACATGCTCCTGGCCAAATATCAATATCCTGGGCATTTTGGTTATTCAGAAGAAGTTGTTTAAAGTTTTTTTTTAGACAATTGACCCCTGTGACCTTGAGTATAAGTGAAGGTCATTCATTTGAACAAACTTGGTAGCCCTTCATCCCAGCATACTACTCGCTAAATATCATCACCCTGGGCATTTTGGTTATTCAGAAGAAGTTGTTTAAAGTTTTTAACATATTTGACCCCTGTGATCTTGAATATGGGCGCAGGTCATTTATTTGAACAAACTTGGTAGTGCTTCATACCAGTTTGCGCTTGGCCAAATATCATCACCCTAGGCCTTTTGGTTATTAAGAAGAAGTTGTTTAAAGTAACATATTGACGCCGGACACGGAATGGACGGCGGACAATGGCATAAGCTCACTTGGACCTTCGGACCAGGTGAGCTAATAAAACCAAACACACATACATGTGTAATATATAACAGGGTGTAATATATAACAGGTACCTGCGTATTCAGGTTTAATATAAGCCAGAACTCTTTCATGATATAACTAGTTAGTACATGGATGTATCTACTACAGGGACGTATGGAGGATTCCTCCTGGGTGACAGCGCTTATCCCACCAGGGTCGTATAACACCATCCAGCAATGCATACTCACAACAACACAAACAACAGAATGTCAACAATGCAATGTGTCGGACAAGAGCTACGATTGAATAAACGTATGGATTCTTATTGAAGATTATCTGGTTTCCACACAATTTGTTTAACGTCCTAATAACAGCTAAGGTCATTTAAGGACGGCCTCCCCTGTGTGCAAAATGCAGGTGTGTAGTGATTGTGTGTGTATTTTGGGAGGCTGCGATATGTTCGGGTTTGTCTCTTTGTGATAGCGCGGAACTGATGCCGACTTTATAGTGCTACCTCACTGACACATCCTGCCAAAAACACCCAGCAGGACGTCCCACCCGGTCTCATTATACTGACAACGGGCGAACCAGTCGTCCCACTCCTAATTTGCAGAGCGTTAAGCAGGAGTAGAAACTACCAGTTTTAAAGACTTTGGTATGTCTCGGTCAGGGGACAGAACCCAAAGCCTTCCTCACAGATCAGCCCAAATATAGAGCAGCAATGATCATCATTGCATGTGTGGCTTTATACAAAATTGGCATTGATAAGGGTGAAATCATGGACCATGACAACCAGGATTTAGGTGATGAGATCACTAAAAAGAGAGACACTTTTAACAAATTTATTTCAGTCAGCGTGTCGTCACTGCTTTGTTTTGAAATTTATACAGTGAAACTTTTTTTGTCTCTAAAAGAAAAATACATTTTATGTTAACGTAAAATAAAAACTACTATATATTTATAATAATAAACTGTGCATCTTAAGTCATTCTTATATTCAACTTTATCAGTTTCGCGTCACAAAATCATATATAAAACATTCAAATGAGATACATGAAAAATAGACAAAAATAATTCTTATACCTAAAACATTTTAAAATACATTCTTCTTGGCGATAATAAATTTTAAAATATTGTACAAGAGGCCCAATGAGCCTGCATCGCTCACATGGTATAAATCTTACACTTGTAATCTTAAAAGTGGACTAAAATACAGCTACAGGCAGAATATCAGTGTTTGATTCATTAGAACCTATTAAATGATTAAACATATGACGCCTGTGACAATGAATGTCAAACAAGGACATTAGGTTAAAACTGGGTCAAGAACATTCATTTGAACAAACGTGGTAGTCCTTTATCCCAGCATGTTACAGGTTCAATATCAGTATCCTGGACCTTATGGTTATTGAGAAAAATTTATTTGAAGATTTGAAGACATTTGACCCCTGTGACCTTGAAAGGGTGTCAAGGTCATTCATTTGAACAAACTTGGCAGCCCTTCATCCCAGCATGCTACTGGCCCAACATCAGTATCCTTGACCTTTCGGTTATTGAGAAAAATTTGTTTGAAGATTTTAAGACATTTGACCCCTGTGACCTTGAAAGGGTGTCAAGGTCATTCTTTTGAACAAACTTGGTAGCCCTTCATCCCAGCATGCTACAGACCCAACATCAGTACCCTGGGTCTTTTGGTTATTGAGAAGAAGTTGTTAAAATTAAAATATTGACGCCGGACGTCGGACGACAGACGGACGACGCACCCTTCGGCCCAGGTGAGCTAAAAAAATCAACTGAAATATTGAATATGTAGAGTAGCCAAAATATTATTCACCTTTTATTGACAACCTGTTAGAAGTTTGCAGGATCATAACAACTGTCTTATTTCATATTCTTGCATAAAATAAGGATAAATATTACTTGACACAGACACTTATAAAAAATATAAATCCACATCACTGTTACAATTGTAAAAAAAAATAATTTAAGTGTTGTGTTATAGTGAAGACTTTATTTGACGCTTACCTTAACCAACCCCACTGATTAACTATAAATTGCTGTTTTATTATGATCTGTCAAATTGATAAAAAGCCCTTTCTTTACATTCAACTTAGTCAGAGATCACAATGAATCGACTTTTCAAAACAACGCATATTCTAAAGAAATGTTCAAAACTTGACACATGTACATGTATCAATCTGTTATCCGTATTTAACATGTAACTGGAACTCATGTTGTGAACACAATGTCCAATTTTACTTACAGATTCACTGACAGGAGAATGGCTGACCACAACTCGTCTTTGACGTGACAGTGAATGTCTGCAATGCGCCTGTAAAATATTGACACTTGTCAACAAAATCAAACATATTAATATAACAGGGTGTAATCGATGCACTAGGTCAGCATTTTTACTTGTATGTGTTGTATATATATCATAAGAAATACGTGTAAGGTCGAGCGAATGCGATTGCACGAGTATTTCCATACTCAGATCACCCTGGGTGTCGTATACACACGCACCCGTAACCTTTCCAACTCACTCTGCACTGTGTTACCGACAGAGCAAGACGGATATTTCCAGGCCTCTGGTAAGTCATTATCATTTTAACAGTAACTTGCAAATGTACATTAGGATAGTGCAATATAATAATATAATATTATATCTGTATAATTAATATTAATTGTAATGTCGAAGCATGTAAAGTGAAAGTATGACTTAATACAGTAGGTAGACATAGTTTCGTAATATATTGTATACCTATGCTGTAAGTTTCGTACATTGTTTCGACTTACATATTTCAATACTGATATATTGCATTTTAGGTTTTCAACTGGATTACCAACAAACTTAATGTCTCCCTTGACAATGCCCCACTTTTGGCCTTTAGTTGAGCGTTCGCCCCTGTGAGGAAGGCTTTGGGTTCTATCCCCTGGCCGAGACATACCAGAGTCTGTAAAAATGGTAGTTTCTACTCCTGCTTAACGCTCAGCAGAAATGACCAAGTTTCACGGATAAAATATAATATGTATGACGTCACAGTAAATATATGACGTCACACGATTGTCTCTGTTGAGAAAAACATACCGCCCGTGTCAAAATTCGTTTGTTCTATATTGAAATTAATTCCAGTTTTCACTTTTATTTTCATACATATGAGTTATGTGATAAACAGAATCTTACACTCGTGACTATGTAGTATGGAATTAATTAAACGTATTTGGTTTCTTTTCTTTCCCTATTCGTAAGGGTCCAGGTTTGTTAAACGTGTATGGCTCTGCTACAGGTCGTTTCCTTGAACAATTACTCTTTTTTGAAATCATTGTCTGACCAAGTATGATGCTGTTATTTGTGTTTTGGATAATTAGGATCGGTAGTATTACCATTATGCAGCCGCGTTGTTGACAGAAGTGGTTTTCAACTGGATCACTGTTGAATCTAGAGGGATTTATGGAAGACCCAGGGTTCTGCATTAAGTGTTCCACGACAAAAAACCTCAAAAACTATCAATACATGATTGTAGGTCATCCCGGCATTGATATGACATCAGTTTCTTCTTCTTCTCCACTGACGACCCTGTTGTGTTTGACTCCCAGTCTTGGAACCACTTAAGCACTTTATTGTAATACAGTAATGAGGTGGTCATTTGTTTGTGTAAGGGGTCGACTGTCTCTGAAATTTGCTATCAACTTTCTTGTTTGACCGAGGAATTCTATGACACCTCCTAGCTTACTTCCATCTGACCCCAATCTTGACTGGTATTCTAACATAAGATTCAGCATCTCTCCATCCATCCTTCTGCAAGATGGTTTCGCATTGGGTTGGGAATATATGGTCCCTTGTTAACTTTCGGT